TTGATTGGGTTCAGATCAGGAGACATACTTGGCCACTGAATCACTTTCGCCCTGTTCTTCAGAAATGCAACAGTGTGTTTTGGATCATTGTCATGTTGGAAATGTGCGCAACGACATTTCTATTCCATGTGGTGCCATTGCTGACAGCATGAAATCGGAGGGGTTTTATTAGTTAAGTAACGCCCTTTTATAATCAGCTGTCTGTTGGACACCTGTTTAATGAATATTTAGACACACCTGTAGTTGAATTCTTGTTAATTAAGATTTTGTTGTCTAAAATTTTAGCTTTGATCCGAAGACTTTCATTGGGGTGTCTTAATTTTTGCCACATGGTCTTGAATTAATTTGTTAGGAAAAATACTTTTTTGTTTTTTTGTGTGCAAATAAACAAATCTTTTTTGCAATGAATGGCCCACATTTGTGGGAGTATTTTGTAGTTTAGTGTCCCATAGAAAATGTTCATTCTGAATAGAAAGTAAAGGTTTTCTGACAAATCTGTTGGGGTGTACTCACTTATGCTGAGCAATCTAGGTATGTTTATGTGACTCCACTAGGGTGGTGTGGCTCTTGCTCTACTCTGTTCTGCTATTAAGTCATCAGTCTACCAGAACCTCCATATGCTTCTCCACCAGTTGTACTCCCCCTAGTATGTATGATGCATGCATTTTCTTAGCCCTCAGGTGCATAACTTTACATTTATCAACATTAAACCTCGTTTGCCACATAGTTACCAATGTAAACAGTGCATTGAGGCTGACTTGTAAGTTGGAGACGACATGTTATTCCACTGCATAGCATGTTGTCATCTGCAAAGACTGAAATGGTACTTTTAATCCCAGACCATATATCGTTTATAAGTATAATAAAAAGTAAGGGTCCCAACACTAAGTAAATTCTAATCCTATACCCACAGTTGATCCAGAGGAAGGCAAAACCCCCCCCCAGCAAAGTACGATCCAATTTGCTCCTGCTGGAGAAAAAAAAAATTCCTTCCTGATCCCCCGAGAGGCAATCTGATATTCCCAGGATCAACTTTACCTATAAATGTTAGTATCCAGTTATATTCTGTGTATCTAACAATCCAGGCCTTTTTTGAAGCAATCCACTGAGCTGGCCAGAACCAACTCTTGGGGGAGTCTATTCCACATTTTCACAACTCACTGTGAAGAAACCTTTCCGTGTTTTGGAGATTACATTTTTTTTCCTCCAGACGTAAAGAGTGCCCCCTTGTCCTCTGTGATGACCTCAGGGTGAATAGCTCAACACCAGTTTACTATATCCCCCCTCAATCTCAAGAAAGAATAAATTCAGTTCCTCTAATCTTTCCTCATAGTTGAGCTCCTCCATGCCTCGTATCCGTTTAGTTGCTCTTCTCTGTACTTTCTCCAGTTCCCCAATGTTCTTTTTGTGAATTGGTGCCCAAAACTAAACTGCATATTCCAGATGAGGTATTAATTACTAATGATTTGTACAGGGGTAAAATGATCTCTCTCTCTCTCCCCTATGCCCCCCCCCCCTCTCTCTCTCTCTCTCTCTCATCGATGCCTCTTTTAATACAAGAGGATTTTGCTCGCTTTAGAAACCTCAGCTTGGCATTGCATGCCATTATTAAGCTTGTGATCTACCAGAACCCCCAGATCCTTCTCCACCATTGATTCCCCCAGTTGTACCCCCCCCCCCCCCCCCAGTATGTATAATGCATGCATATTTTTAACCCCCAAGTGAATAACCTTACATTTATCAACATTAAACCTCATTTGCCACATAGTTGCCCAATTAAACAGTACATTGAGGTCGGCTTGTAAATTGAAGACATCCTGTAAGGGCGTTATTCCACTGCACAGCTTGGTGTCATCTGCAAAGACTGAAATGGGATTTTTAATCTCAGACCCTATATCGTTTATAAAAAGTAAGGGTCCCAACACTTAACCTTGGGGTACACCACGACAACCCTAGACCATTCAGAGTATGAATCATTAACCACTACTCTCTGAATACCATCTTTTTGCCAGTTTTCTATCCATTTACAAACTGGTTTTTCCAAGCCTGTAGACTTTTCATTACACATTAGCTGTGTGTGGGGAACTGTGTCAAACGCTTTTGCAAGATCTAAGTATACCACGTCCACAGCTACTCCTTTGTGTAAGGTTTTGCTCACCTCCTCATAAAAAGAAATCAAATTTGTTTGGCAACTTCTGTCTTTCATGAATCCATGCTGTCTGTTGCTTAAAATATTTTTTTCCAGCAAGAACCCATCTATGTGGTCTTTTATTAAATTCTCCAGTATCTTCCCAACTATAGAAGTTAAACTAACAGGTCTAGAATTACTTGGTAAAGATTTTGACCCCTTTTTAAATATAGACACCACATTGGCCTTACGCTAATCCAGTGGTACTATGCCAGTCATTAAAGAGTCCCTAAAAATTAGAAACAATGTCTTTGAAATGATAGAGCTCAATTCTTTAAGGACCCATGGGTGTATGCCATCCGGTCCAGGTGCTTTATTCACCTTTATTCTGTCTAAATGTTTATGGACCATATCAATTGTGAGCCAATGTGGATCATTTGGAGCTGTGTCAGTTTCATCCCCATTATGGGCATGAGCTCCCATGCTCCTTTGTATACTCAGAGCTTAAGAAGGTATTTAATAAATTTGATTTCTCTTTGTCCCCAGTCACCCACTCTAGTTTATTTTGTAAAGGGCCTACATGCTCGGATCTGTCCTTTTTTACTATTAATATATTTAAAGAATTTTTGGGGGTTTATTCTTTCTTTTGAAACCTGTAGCTCGCTTTGAATTTTGCGGCCCTGGTTTCCTTTTTACATATTCTGTTATATTTTTTGTAACAATTAAATGATAATCCTTAATTTTTTTATTTTTTAAAAGCTCTTTTCTCATTCTATATAGCTTTTTTAACTTTGGCCGTGAGCAGGTGCAGCAGGGTCAGGTGGAGTGAAGGCAAAGGCTTGGGACAGCTTGGCTGGGCCTCGGTCCTGTCCTCCTTAACTCGTCCTTTATTCCCTTGGGTTTTTTTCTTTTCTGCTTTTTGAAAACTGCGTAAGAGAGTGGTGCACACTGTTCCTGGAGGTACTGCAATACCAGGTCGATGCGTGGAGTTGACGGAGCAAGCTATTTTTCCATCACCCAGTTCTAAAAATCCATTTAAGCTATGGTGCCCAGATAGGGGATGTATTGGATATTAAACTAAGATTTTTTTTTTTTTTTTTTTTTGAAAAAAATTTACTTTATTTTTATATAAGGTATATAAAAAAAAGGTACTTTATTGGGGGACATTCCACCCTGTACTGTGACAGAATGCGCATAAATGCACCACATAACAATATATTTTTTTAAACATATTGCCCATGGGAATATATTTTGCAGTGTGTTGACAGTCTTTTTGAAGAATTCCCATTTCTGTTCTCGGTTCTTCAATGCCAATATTCCCTCCCAATCTAAGTCTTGGAGAGCAGCCCTCATCCTTGGAAAATTAGCTCTCTTAAAGTTGAGTGTTTTTATCTTTCCAGTGTGTGCTTGTTAATTACAGCTAGCATTAACCGCTTCCTGACCACCCTATATCAAAAATGCTGCTACAGGGCGATAGGGCTGCGCAAAATCACGTGTGTGTATATATACAGGATTTAGTTTTTTGGTGTAGGGGGAGCGCATGCTGCCATTGGCGGCTTTAGCTGTTGGTCACCGGGTCCCGGTTGGAGATTCCTCGCAGGCACCCGACGATTGCCGAGGAACAATGACAGAGGAGAGGTCTGTATGTAAACAATACAGATCTCTCCCCTTTCGGCACCAGCATGCTGGTTTGTATTGCTGTACACAGCAGAGCAATACAAAGCAGTGTGCGTACACAGTAAAGCACAAACAGAAAACACAGTAAAACAGCACACAGTTTAACCCTTTGCTCGCCCCAGATGTTAACCCCTTCCTGCCCATTGTCATTGGTACAGTGTCAGTTCTTTTTATTAGCACTGATCACTGTATTAGGCTTCGTTCACACTAGCGTTGTGTGCAGGTGGCAGAGAGGCGTTTGTGAAGCGTTTTAACTGCTTCCTAAACGCCTCGGACAATTCTGCACATTGCAGCACATGGTGCTGTTCTAACGGGAGCGTTAGCGTCGCGGCAAAACGGACGCCTCTGGTCGAGTCAGGAGGCATTGAAGCCTCCTATTCTAGTCTATGGTGCCGCTCCACACCATTCAAACTTCATTATAGGCGTTTGTGGGGTGTTTTTAGCGCTCCGCAAACTCCGGACCAACGCTTGCCAAACGCTATAGGGGCGTTTGGCAAGCGTTGGTAAAACAGTCAAGTGTGAACGAACCCTTAGTGTTAGTGGGGATGTCAGTGGCACAGTTCCCCCCAGTGTCAGAACACCCGCCTCAGTCCCGCTAGAAGTCGCTGATCGCCGCCATTACTACATTACATTTTTTTTTTAAGCAAAGCCATGTAACAGAATACATTTTGATGAAATTTGATTTTTACATTTTTTTTTTACTGGATAGGCTTTGTAGCAAAAAGTAAAAAATAAATAATTTTTTTTTTTCCGGTAAATTGTCGCTCTTTTTTTGTTTTTACAGTGCAAAAAAAAATAAAAACCGCACAGTCGATCAAATACCGAAAGAAAGGTCCATTTGTGGGGGAAAAAAAAGACATAAATTTGATTTGGGTGCAGCGTTGCATGACCGCGCAATTGTCCGTTAAACAAATGCAGTGCCGTAATGTAAAAAATGGCCTGGTCAGGAAGGGGGGTAAATCCTCACGAGGGCAAGTGGTTAAATGAAATCATGTTATGGTCACTGCTACCCAGATGTTCTTTTATATGAGCATTAGTAGTAAGCTCTGTGTGGTTTGAGATTGCCAGATCCAGCAGAGCATCATTCCTAGTCGTGGTCTCTATGAACTGTACCATAAAATTGTCAGTGATTTGCTGCCTTCTTGTCACCATTCTTTTAAAATCTGATAACGTAATGAATAATGTTTGTTCACAGGTTCACATCCAGACAATTGGAATTTTGGTATCCGAAAAGTCAGAGTTGCAGACCGCCCTCTCGTTTACACAGCAGGCAGCACGTCAGAAAGGAGGTATGTATCCTGTAAATGTTTAAATTTACACCAGTCCTTAACTCCTTGGCGCCTCCCGGCGCTTTAAGGCTTTCAGAAGCCGGGAGGCGGGGCAGGGTTTAGGGTCCTATGACTGCCGTGACATGCCGTCATGGCGGTCACATGATTGGGAAAAGTCCCACTCGAAAGAGGAGAGTACTGGACATGTGTGCTGGGAGCGCGCAGGGCACGCACTCAGCACGTATGGTTTTTTTTTTTTTGTTAATAGAACGCAAATGTGTGGCCGCTCGGCATCTAGGCCCAGACACCGGGAGGCCGCACATTTGCGTTCGACCGGCGCCAAGAGGAGAAGTCCACCTTTTAACAAAAAATTAAGAACTGTGTGCATTTACTATTTTTTTTTTTTTTTTTTTTTTTTTTTAGGAGTCTGGAAAGCATTGCACCGGCGAAAAGCAGATGCTGGTGACATGCAAGTTTCCTATAGACTTTCAGTGTAATCTGTCTACTCGTACCTTTTATGAGCAGACCGTTTTATACTGACTGGAAGAATCTATGAACTACCACAGTGCTCAGCAGCGCTGTGGTAGTTCATTGAGAACTACAAGCCGACAGCCGCAAAGGCTGTCAGGACTTGTAGCCTTTCCATTCACAGTACACTGTGAATAGATGACAGGGTTTTACAGCTAGAGGGGGGTGGGATTTAGAGAAGATCCCCTGGGTGCGGGGGCTGGTACAATTGTACACCTTGAATATGGGTGTAACATGCTTCAAAAGGTGAAGTTATCCTTTAAGATGGGTGTGCATGGATCAAAATTTGGCCGGCAGGGACTAGTCTCATTTCGATCTGTGTGCAGTCCTTCCTTTTTGACAGAAGCCGAATCGGACTTCTGGAAAACCTTGTTCGATCAGCAACTTGCAGACAATTGGCTACAGGTCTGATTGGCGTATTCTGAGAGCTAAGAGTCTCCTCTGCCAGAATAGTGTTCCAGCAGGGAAGGATTTCTGCATCCACACATATTGTGTGGATGCATGTATCTGTCAGTTTTTTTTTTAGTTTGTTTTTTTTTATTCTGCCTGCTGGCTGATCAAAAAAAAAGCAGACATTGTGTATCCAGTTTAGGCTTTCATATTGAAATCACTTTCGCCCCAGTGATCAAGAATTTCTTCAGCAGTTATCTCTGAGGAAACACAAAACCTTAATGCTGAACTCTGGGCATTTCCCCCCCATGCCCGCACTGCAAAGGTTAATTGCTCGTTTTATTCTAGGGGAGAGGAGAGCGGAAATATACTTGCCTGGTCCTCCTGTCCTCCCTGCACAAGACCGGTCCGGCAACCCCGCACTCCAGCGGTCTTGAAAATGTAGTCACAGCCCGACTGCAAAGGGAAAAGAAAAAAATGCCCAGAGTTTGGCTTTAATATAAAGCAAAGTTTCTGCTAAACCACTACTCTCAATATAATTCTTAAAGCTGAATATCTGCTTTTGTTTTGCCATCCCTGGTTCCTTGTTCTCCCCCCTGTTCTATAAACAGTTATATTATGAAAAAATAATATTGCAAATATATACCTTCGCACTCAGATATCATCACTTATTCTCTGTGCTTCTCTATGCAAAGCAAGGCAGATCATGGCTGGTTGCTGGGGCTGACAGGGTGCTGTATATAACTTCTTGAAAACGTCATAGCACCCTGCCTCAATTCTTCTCTCAAGAACCTTAAACCTTGATGCTTGCAGTGGTCTGTTTTTGGGAGAAATTAGGCAAATATCAAAATACCTTGATGAGCGAATATCAGTCCAGAGGAGTAGGTGTTCTTAGGCAAGCTGCCATTGCATGTAGACCACCTTAGGTAATACAAATGTGATGCTGAGCCTCCTTGATTAAACTGAAATCAAATGAATGGAAGGAGTGGACCAGTGACAGGCTGTGGAGAGAAGTGCTGGATGATGATGAAATTCTTCAAGCAAGGATATGAGACTTTGACTTCCTACAACTTTTAATACACTCACTGATAAGGTCAGAGTAAGCTACACTATATTGCCAAAAGTATTGGGACGCCTGTCTTTACACGCATATGAACTTTCATGGCATCCCAGTCTTAGTTCGTAGGGTTCAATATTGAGGTGGTCCACCCTTTGCAGGTATAACAGCTTCAACTCTCCTGGGAAGACTGACCACAAGGTTTAGGAGTGTCTATGGGAATGTTTGACCATTCTTCCAGAAGAGCATTTGTGAGGTCAGGCACGGATGTCGGGCAAGAAGGCCTGGCTCGCAGTCTCAACTCTAATTTATCCCAAAGGTGTTCTATTGGGTTGAGGTCAGGATTGTGTGCAGGCCATCCATGTCTTTATGGACCTTGCTTTGTGCACTGGTGCGCAGTCAAGTTGGAACAAGAAGGGACCATCCCCAAACTGTTTCAACAAACTTAGGAGCATGAAATTGTCCAAAATGTCTTGGTATGCTGATGCCTTAAGAGTTCCCTTCACTGGAACTAAGGGGCCAAGCCCAACCCCTGAAAAACAACCCCACACCATAATCCCCCCTCCACCAAACCTGGCACAATGCAGTCAGGCAAGTACTGTTCTCCTGGCAACTGCCAAACCCAGACACGTCCATTGGATTTACAGACAGAGAAGCATGATTAGTCATGCTAGAGAACATTTCTCCACTGCTCTAGAGTCTAGTGGTTGGTGTGCTTTACACCACTGCATCCGATGCTTTGCATTGCACTTGGTGATGTAAGGCTTGGATGCAGCTGCTCGGCCATGGAAACCCATTCCATGAAGCTCTCTATACACTGTTGTGCTAATCTGAAGGCCACACGAACTTTGGAGGTCTTTAGCTATTGACTCTGCAGACAGTTGGCTACTCCTGCACACTATGTGCTTCAGCATGCACTGACCACCGCTCTGTCATTTTACATGGCCTACCAATTCATGGCTGAGTTTTTGTTGTTCCCAGTTGCTTCCACTTTGTTATAATACCACTAACAGTTGATTGTGGAATATTTAGTAGCAAGGAAATTTCACAGATGGACTTATTGCACAGGTGGCAACCTATCACGGGACCACGCTTGATTTCACTGAGCTCCTGAGAGCGACCCATTCTTTCACAAATGTTTGTAGAAGCAGTCTGCTTGCCTAGGTGCTTGATTTTATACACCTGTGGCCATGGAGGTGATTGGAACACCTGAATCCAATGATTTGGAGAGCGGGCCCAATACTTTTGGCAATATAGTGTCTATTTGTACAGGGGAAAAGCCTATAAAACTGTGCAAGTATGGCTGGGTTTTAGCTTTCAGGCATGGGCTCCAGAACCCAAAATGTGGACAGGAAACAAGTTAAATGTAAACGCACTTAACAAGTCATGTAAAATCTGAATGAAGAGCATTCACATGATAATAGAGTGACAACTTAAAGTAGTTGTAAAAGTTAATTTATTTTATTTTTTTTCTAAAATGGCAAGCATGTTATACTTACCCGCTCTATGCAATGATACTGCACAGAGTGGCCGCGATCCTCCTCTTCTGGGGGTCCCCTGCTGGTGCTTTCTTCTCCTCCCCTTCTTTGTCTGTCCCCATAGCAAGCTGCTTGCTATGGGAGCTGATGTGTCCATAGACACACAGACACAGCATGGCTCAGGCCCACACCCTGCTCCCTGCTCAGGATTTAATTGACAGCAGCAGGAGTCAGTGGTTCCTGCTGCTGCCTCTATGTCCTGTGAGGAGAGGAACACAGACCAGCAATGCTGCAAATGGTCACAGCCCTGGATTGAGATAGGACTCGAGTAAGTGTATAAGGGGGTGTGGGGTGCCACAACTATTGGGACATTTTTTTTAACCTTAAATTGGTTGGAGAGGCTGAAATTTTGCATACATATAAAAAACCTTCTGTGTGTTGCTCCCCCCACAGCCCCCTCTAATACTTACCGTAGAACACCCCTTGATACAGTGATGTGCACAGGAACATCGGCTCTCCCAGGTCTCTCTCTCCTCATTGGCTGAGGCACAGCAGCGGGAGCCATTGGCCCCCACTGCTGTCAATCACACCCAGTCTGGAGAGAGCAGGAGGAGGGACTGAGCCACGCTCTGTGTGTCTCATACACACACAAGGCCAGCTCTGGAACGAGCACGTACCAGTGCCCCCATAGCAATCAGCTTGCTATGGGGGGCACTGAGCGGGGTGGAGAGGCCAGGAGTGCTGGCGGGGGAACGGAGGAGAGGAGAATCGGGGCTGCTCTGTGCAAAACCATTGCACAGAGCAGGTAAATATGATTTTTTTTTTTTGTTTTTTAGTCTTTACTATCATTTTAATGCAGGGAATGCATTAAAGCAAGGGTTCCCAACCCCTGGGCCGCACACAGGTACCGGCCCGTGGCCCATTGATGACAGTGGGAGGTAAGTGGCGACACCGGCTCGGACAGGACTATCACAGACTGTGATCTCTACTCACCTTCCGCTATGTGGCCATGCCTGTGTCTCCTCTCCAGCCCCACTAATGGTGTCATCCTTTCAGCAAAGCAGGGGCAGGAGGAGCTGCAGATCTGGACAGAGAGGAGTCTCTTCATATTAACAAGCGGATAGTCACCCGCTTGTTAATATTATAATGTGGGCAGCTCTTCTCCTTTGTCCAGATCTGCAACCCCTTCCACCCCGGCTCTGCTGAGGGAGACCCTGAAGAGGACACACAGACTGAATCCTGCCAAAGATAGGACTATGCAAAGAGGCAGATAGTAAAAGGGGGCATTATGCTTAGACAGAAAAAGGGGGAGGGGCATGACTGCAAATGTGAATGCATGTGTCAATCCCTCACGCAAACAGCGATCGTCCCATACATGTGAGGTATTGCCGCGATCATCAGGTCATGGGCAGAAATTCTAGCACAAGACCTCCTCTGTAAATCTAAAGTAGTAATCTGTAAAGGCTTCTAAAGCATCGCCTATGCATAGTAATGCATTTAAAGTTATATTAAAGGCTTATAATTAAGAAAAAAAACAATAATAAGAAACATGTTATACTTACCTGCTGTGTGCAGTGGTTTTGCACAGAGCAGCCCCGATCCTTCTCTTCTTGGGTCCCCTGCCTGTGCTCCTGGCTGCTCCCCCTGTCAGGTGCCCCCACAGCAAGCAGCTTGCTATGGGGGCACCCGAGCAGGTGCGTTCCCAAGCCACTTCTGCGTGTGTCCATTCACAAACAAAGCCGCGGCTCGGCCCTGCCCCCCTCTCTTCTCATTGGCTAACTGGCTGTGATTGACACTGGCTCCCGCTGCTGTCTCAGCCAATGAGGAGAGGGAGTCCCGGGATAGCCAAGACAAGCCAAGGAACCCCCTATGTCTCTTCTTAAATAAACAAATGAACCAGCTTGTGTGCAATGTTCTTTGATGTGCACGGAGCCATGCATGTGTAGAGCTACGATATACTCTGTGGAGGAAGAAAAGTTGTGTTAATTACATGAAGGTGATAACGTTACCCTCTGTGCAGATTGCAAAATTTCATCTCTTATGCCATTTGAAATTGGCCTCATTCTTTTCTGCTATGCAGCAGGAATGTAGCTCACAGTTGTGTATATGCCTCAGAGAGGAGACCTTTAGTATTGGCCACTTGGCCGAGAGCATCAAATAGAGGAGAAGGCGAAGAATCACAAGGGAGTTTTATAATTGTAATGCAAGTACTGATAGAACCTTTTCTGGTCTAGTTCACATTCAGCATGGAGTTCCTGAAAGGAAAGCATAAGGAGGTTTACATTCCTTTTATGATCGGTACCATAATTTTTCTGTGAGCCCTGGTTGTGTTTTATTAAATGGCCATAAACCTTTCTTTCTGTTCTTATAGGGGAGGTGGAGGATCTTGTCATGCGATTACAGTCCACCCGGCAGAGAGTAACCGAGCTGGAACGTACACTGTCCTCCCTCTCTGCTCAGCAGAAGCAGCTAGAAAAGGTAACAGTGGAATTATAATACGTATGAGAAATAAAGAACACATATTGATCTAGTTTTGCTGTATTTACAGTATTCTCTTGGCTTTATTGCATTGCAAAGAGTGATAGGCTGCAGCAGCCTATAACAAGCAACCAGATCAGGTAACGAATGCTGGTTTCTGATGGCATGGGTTATGAGTTACTGCAGGCTTTCTGTCAATACATTAATTGTATGCCTTGCCATTTTATCAGTGGTAAGTGACTAAAGGTATCATGAATTGTGACCCAGAATGCACAGTATTCTAAAGTGTCTTTAGTCACCATTAGAAGTAACTGCCACATTTAAACTCACAGTTTACGTTATTTTTCTTAAAGTGGTATTAAAGGTTTGGCTTTAAAAAAAAAAGTAACTTACCTGTTCTGTGCAGTGGTTTTGCACAGAGCAGCCCCAATCCTCCTCTTATTGCGTCTCCCGCTGGTGTTCCTGGCTCCTGCCCCTTGACCAGTGGACCCAATAGCAAGCCCGGCTTTGTGTCCATAAGACAAATTAGAGCCACGTCTTGGCCCTGCTCCCTTCTCTCTACTCATTGGCTCACTGGCTGTGTTTGGCAGAATTGGGAGCCAATAGCTCCCACTGCTATCTCAGCCAATGAGGAGGGAGTCCCAGGACATCCAAGGTTCTCGTGCACATCGCTGGATCAAGAGGGCCCTCAGGTGAATATTAACGGGGGCTGTGGGGGGAGCAGAACACAGAAGGTTTTACATTCTGCCTTTAACCACATTAAAGCTTTTCTGCCCACATTGCCCCATGCGAGGCATAGATAACTAAAGGAATTTATTTTTTTCTTTTCATTTTGAATAGCTTAAAGGGGGTTAGTTTATTTTTACACCTTCTGTGTCCCCTTGGGAAAATTTTACCTTCATCTCCACAGTCTGGGAATCTCTGCTTGTCACCATAACTAGTGTCCCCATTGGAAGATTTTTTTAGTGATGACAGTAAACTGGACAAATTGAGAGGACAAATCTCCGAACAAGGGTGCAGATGGCTGTAAAAATCTAACAGGTGTTTTAATCCCTCTCCACTCTATGCAGAATAAATATTTTACCTTTAGTTACACTTTAATAAATGTCCCCTGTTAACATAATGCTCCTAGTGCCTCCTAATGCTGGATGTCACCGACTGCTCAGTTTCCCACTGATGATCAATATCCTCTCGGCTTCATTTAGGAAATAGATATCTTTCGCCAAGAGATGAAAACTGACAACTTCAGGATTCAGAGCCGTTTACAGTGCAGTATGTTTATAGTATGAATCTGATACAATTACAGTATGTAAAAACTTTCATTTTATTTTTTCTTATAGAGTAGGGAATGGTTAAAGCAGACAAAAATGAAAGTTCTGCTTTTACTAAAAGCTTTCGCCTCTCAAAGTCATATTGCCTATAAATGCCGATTTGAGAAAAGCTGGGAGGGAAAGGGGAGGAATTCCATGGCCCAGGAGCTGCAGATGACATCACCGTGCCTCAAAACTTCTGTTATAATATTCTTACTGTGACAGGTTTTTTTAAACAAGACATCAGATCTCCATGCTGTTGCAGTAAAAGGGTTAAAGCAGGATACAGTTATTCCTCTTGGATGGCTTTGCATATTACCTTTAAGTAATAATTGGAAATACTGCACAGTTTATACTACAGATAGTAGTATTTTTTTGACATCTACTGTGTTGTTTCTAGGGTAAGGCCTGGCCATTTTTAGTAATATTGTGCATTTGCCTCTGTTTTTTAGCTTAATAAAGAATTGGAGAAAGACCGTGACAACCTGCGACTTGAATCTTTGAAGAACAGGTAAGTCCTTTCTTTTGCTTCAGTCTGGACTCTAAAGAGGTTACCAGAGGTCAGCCTTGTCATGCTTGTCCTTATCTTCTCGCACAGTAAGAGTAGTGATGAGCTGAAGCAGCAGAATTCTGAATTGTCAGAGAAACTGAATGCACTTCTCTCTGAGAATGCTGCCATGAAGTTGGAGCTGGGAGATCTGCACAAGAAGCTTGAAATGGCTGAACTTATGATTCAGCAGGTAAGCTTTAATGCAAGCAAATTGTTTCTTCTGGTAGAAACCCATGTTAATGTTCTGGTATTGGACTTCAGGTTCTGACTCTTTGGTAGGTGGTATTTTGCCACAGTTCTATATTGTTGAAGAAGCCTGCGTTTTTCTGTTCTCATTAAGTTCTATTTCAGCAGTATGCAAGTCTATACCACTGTTCTCCTTTGCAGTTGGTGCTCTCCCATGTCACTAAATAGAGCTATACCAACCAGAGCTTCACATATTGAATCCGTTTTACCAAAAGATTTGAGGATGTTCACACAATACCTTTATACATTGTGTAAATATGCACTTCAGTTATCTGGTCATTTACAGATGAAACAACTAAACTGTAAACTCTTTGGGTTTTTATGTTAATATTTTGCCCAAATCGTTTTGTTTTTATGACCTCTTTGGTGACCATTATTTATATATCTGTGTGATTTTTTTTTTTTAAGTTTTCTAATCAGACGGGAGTACCGGATGCAAATCAACAGCTTCTGATGGCCCTGGAAGAGAGAGACCAACTGGGTACCCAGCTAGCACAGGTAACCTTTGTGTGATGGATATGACCACTGGCTGTATACTGAATTTCTAGATGAGAATATTTTCAGCAGTTCTCTCTGCTTGGGACAATTTTGTCCATATAATCATCAGGCTTAACCTCCCAGGAGGTATTCCCGAGTGTAGCTCAGGGTAAAGTTTCAGGTAACCCCGAGCTACACTCAGGAATACCATGCTGTGCTGCTTCGGGATCTCTTCTTCACTTACCTTATCCTGCGCTCACGCGATGTTCCTTCTGCAGCGTCCCCGGCAATGTCCTCCAGCCGATGTCGGCATCTGTCTTCCGGGTTCGGTTTCCTGCAACGTCAGGAAGTACGGGGACGGAACGGTGGGAAATTTTAAAATGTGAAAAAATGACATTCACTAAATACACTAAAATCACATAGTAAAACATTACTGTAGCAAACCATTTTTACTGTTCTTTCTGCCTGGAAACTGAGAAATGTCCATGGCGTCCAAAAAGCAGTTTTAGACCAGCTAGAAAACAGCGATCGTAAATTAGAACTACTTACAGAATTGAGTGATAATGATTCGTGGGGTAATTTCGTCATCAGACATTGAAAACGATTTTGCAACTTTGCTCATTGATGTGCGAACTTGGCGCTGTATTTAAAATTTCAGTGTTTTTGTTTTGATTATATTGAATTAAATTTATTATTATATTTTTTTATGATTATTAAATTATAATTTATAATTTCATGTTTCAAATTTTAACATACCCGGGATGTTCACTAGACTCTTGTTCGGACAGATTTCAGTGAGTTATTCTTAAAAAGTACAGGCCTATAATAATAAAACGACATATTTCCATGCAAAAAAATGTACCTCTTTGAGCACAGAAATAGTGACATAATCAGACCACTGGGGAGGCTATGCAATCAGTCTGTGGCTAGTGTCAGTATCCCAGAAATGGCAGCTACATTACTTTTATTATTTCATTACAAGTGTAGATGCTTTCGTTTATAGGAAAGAATCTAGTCCGCTTTTAAATTCAATTATTGTTTTTTTTTTTTCCTATTGTTGCTCAGTGCAGAAATAAGTTCTACAGCTTAGCAGAAAGCTTTAGGCCCGGTTCACACCATGCTCTGAGCTGAATCCCACAGGAACGAGCTGTGTGTTCCTGTGTGATTCATCTGCAGCTCTGTGCGGTGTGATTTCAAGCCCATTCATTTAAATGTGCTGAAATTGCAACACTCAAATTAGTGCATGCACTACTTTTTGAAAAGCTTGGTAACTGCATCTACTATGCGATTTGGTGTGGGCCAGTACAGGCATGCGCATTGTGTTTGTGACCTGCGTTTGGGTTGTCGTTAACTCTTAACTGACCCCCACAGCAAATCGCAAGGGCATTGAGATCAGAATGCGTTGCGAGAGAGCTGTGGTAACGCACCACATTCTAGTGTGAACGAGCCCTTATTCATTTATTTTTAGGACTCGTTTATACTTGCAGCAGCCTTTACCTGCCCCTCTAAAAAGTGATATGCTGTAGATCTCTTTTCAGATGGTATTTGACAGGCAGCTGGACGGCAATATGTTGCCTCCTTACCCTTTGTTGTAACCTGTGAGTGGTATACATTTGACATGTGTACAGCCCTCCTTCAGCTGCTGTACTTGGTTAAAAGATTCATCCTTAACAGATTTGTGGAGTAAACAGTTGATAGTATAGATATTCCACCCAATCAGTGGTGCTTCAAGCTCTTTGCAGTGCTGCTCGCTAGACCCAAAGCCTAGACACTCAATCAAATAATCTCTGCTTAATGGGAAGACCAGCCAGTTTGAACTCTAAACTTGTGACCAAACTCCTGGATTGTGGCCATGTAGCCAGGAATGAGGGAAGCCAAGTGCAGCATTTCTACATTAAAGTGTTTTAGTTCGTCTTTTACTCTTCATCCATAGATGTCAAATTCTCTTCAACAATTGAGGGCAGAACGAGACCAGTATGTGGAAAAACTGAAAGAAGAGGGGACTGTCTGGCAAGAAAGAGTTCGTCAGTTGTCTGAGCAGGTGAGCTTTACTTAAGCTTGAATTTCCTCTCTGGCTTTTCTCTAACCTCTCTGTGAACATTACACCAGCATGTGTTTGTTATCAACCTGGGATGGTGATAATCAATTTAATTCAAGCAAAACTGCAAAAATGTTTTGTTACTTTGACGGTCAAGATTGTCAAAGGCTGAAACTTCCTCCCAGCTTCTATTGCTGTCTGACTGACATTTTGATAAATTACATTTTACAGCAGTAAAAACGTAGGAGTTTTCTTCGCTACTACACTTCTTTTTTAAAATAGAAAAAAGTGTTTTTGTTTTTGTTTGCATTTGGGAGTTTTCCCATAACTTTCTGTTCTTATGACATCCTATGTTGTTGGTTCAGGAAGAGAGTGGAAATTTCCAAAATGCAAACCCAGAAAGCGGTATAAACCTGGCGATAAAAACTTAAATGGGAAAAAAGTTTTGGTTAGAGTTAAACCGCTTATAGCTTTAAATTTCACAACTGTTCTTACATAGCCATGATTGCTTTTATTGTTCTTTTGATTGGATAGCGCAGGGAAAGAATAGAACCTCTGTCAAGTTTGTCAACTGTGTTCTGTTTAGATAGATTTACACTGTCAGTTTATCCCAGAGGCAGAAAGTAATGAATAATCCAAAGGGCAACAGGTGAGGGGACATCTTCCATTGGAGACAACTGTCTGAATGGGATTGCCCCTCAGATTGTAGATATTTCCTCTCACTTCCTGTTGCCTGTGAGGGACAGGAAGTGAAAGAAAATCTCCCCATTGTGACACTGATAATGCCCTTTCCTACTGGTGTGTGTCAAATATTAACCTAGTAAATTGGCCCTGCGAGGCTGCTGATTTCTTCTGAAGTTATTTTCTGTTTGTTGTACTGTTTCTGTATGTGTTGTTATACGCATACATAAATTTCAATAAAAATAATTTTATAAAAAAATATTACCCTGGTACTAAGTCAATTAATATTACTGTTTTTTACTAGCTACACACCCTCAGCGAAGAGAAGGAGAGCGCGCGTGTCCAAGTTGAACAGCTGGAGACCAGAGTGACAGAACTGTTACTTGCATCAGGTACACAGCAAAGTGAAGACAGTCATTAATAGAGTCATTTTTGCACATAATGCAATTTGTGTCTCTGCTACTTTCCAGCAGCGGAACCTGCTGACACAGAGAACTCTGCGACACATGGCCCTTCTGAAACAGAACAGGCTCTTCAAAGAGAGGTAGAGAAGCTCCAACAAGAGTTTCAAGAGTTGCAGTCCAGGTATCAGGCCCTGGTGCAGGACAACAGCCAGCTAAGTCGCCTCAATCAGGAGCAGGAGGAACGCCTACTGGAATTAGAGAAGACAGTACAAAGGCAGAATGAGGAAAATGTAGATAAACAGCAGATCCTGGAAAACATGCAGAGTGACAAAGCCACCATCAGCCGAGCGCTGACCCAGAACAGGCAGCTGAAAGAACAACTGGCTGAGCTCCAAAATGGATTTGTTAAACTGGTAAGAGTCTTGCATTTGCCAGAGATTAAGCTTCTACTGGATGTACTTGGGTTATTTTGTGGCAGACTGTGTGCCACAATGGGGTAGAGGGCATTGTCATTGTGTTTTTTACATTAGGGTTTGATCATATGTCAAATCCTTCCTAGCAGTATTTGAACCCCAATTTACATAGTGACGCTGTCTCCTTTGTGTATGTATCTTGCTATGGTCATAGGACAGGTACATGCTATCTTTATTCTGACAAGTTGGAAGTACTGGAGACAAAACTGGAGAGAGACTCCTTACTGCTAAGGTTAACTGCTAATTGTCATTACTTAAAGGGTAACTCCACTTTCTTGGGAAAAAATAGCACAAAAAATATATCATATACTATTGCAACATAAGCAATATTGTAGTATCACATTTTCAAAGATTACCTTCCTTTTCAATCTGCAACACTGTAATTTTCAGTAAAATGCAAAACAATATGGCAACCTGGAGGTGTTCTGTACAGAGCTGATGTATGGAGCGCCCCCCCTGAAATGCCATTTCCTGTGTGTGATTGGTTTACTAAGATACAAATCAGATTTTTGGTATCATTGCATCCTCTGAAACAAACATCTCCGGTTTGATGACATACTCACAAAGGATTAATCACATCTAAAAGAATTCAGACCCCACCACTTTCCTCATTGGAACCCAGCAAGTGCAGCAACTGATCACTGATGAAAAAGATGCTCCCATTCACATGCACTTTGCACAAGGACACAAGCAGCTATTTCTCTAGAGCAACAAAAGGTAGGAAGAAGCTGCAACAGTTTGTTACAATCCTTGCAATGTACATAGATCCACCAGAGGGGAATGTTTTTTTTTTTTTGTTTTTTTTTCTCAACAAAAGTGGAGTTACTCTTTAACTCTCCCACATCCTAACCTAGTAATTAACAATACTCGTTCAAACACCTGGTTAACATCTGCAAATTTGTTTTATGCTCTTATTAACCTCTAACAAAAAAAAAAAAAAATCTTTAGATGTTTGTGTTTATCCATTTGGGTGTGGAGTACATGTACTGGGGCTGCCGAATGGAGCATACAAATTATCATGTTATGTTAGGTGTCTGTTCAATCCTGTGTTTTCAATGAATCTGTGGAAATGGCTGAATACTTTGAAAGACACCTGTCTTGTTGTCAGATTTGAGACTATTGGCTATGGACTTTTGCTGATCCCAAACCATACTCTGGATCATTTAGGGTCTGTTCACACTGGAGCGGTTTGGTTTGTGGGCAGCTATCTGTTCTGGCTGCAGTGTGATGGCAGTTGTAGGGGCAGTGTGATGTTGTTGTTTTTTTTTTTTTTTTTTGTCAAGTTTACAAAGCAACACTTCATTCATATAACCGTACAGCAGTACAGTGTGTTGCTTTGTATGGTGACATGTGGTGCCTTTCTGTGCGTTGCGATAAAATGCAGCATGTCTTCATTGTATCGCAGCTCACTGCACCGCTCCTCCGAGTTGTGTTGTAGTGTGAACAGGGCACAAAATCAATTGCTTTCTGTGTGTATCCTAGCAGTGGCTGGTGTTCTCCCTGTGCATGAAAATGTCAGTCTCAGCACAAGGTGCTAACAGGCACTTCGATTTTTTTTTTTATTTTTACTAAACCGTTGTCTTTATTATAGGAAAAATCGATTCACTGCATCTCTCTCATAAAACAACATAACAGATTTGTGTCTTAGAAAATGCAGAGCTGGATGTGAGTGATCTCTTGTTGATAGGGCCTTTTTACATGATTTTGGGGTCTTGCCACATTTATGACTGTTACCCTCAAAACAATTTCCTCCTCCAACTGCAGCCTAGAGTGGCCAAAATTGGTTTGGTTTGGTTGCTAAGATTGGCTGGACAGGCTGGGCAGGAGGTGGGGCATAGACATGACACCTTTGCTGGGCTCTTCCTGCAGCTGCCAATGTTGGCTGGTGTTCCTGAAGTGCAGCGGGAGCTCTATGAACCAGGCAAACTACAATGACTGTCCTTAAAGTGGCTGTAAACCTCTGAGATGAAAAATGAACCAAGCACATCCCTCTATAGTGTGAACCTGTCTCAATTCCAAGCACTTAGTGTGATCTCCGATTTCTTTCTCCTCCCTCCTGAGTCATTCCTGATCATTTATCCCAACAGCAGGGAATCCCTTCCCCCCTCCAGCCCACAGAATATGATCGACGGCCTCAGCTGCATGTTTCCCTATGTGAATGTGTAGAAAGGGCTGTATCCATTCCCTTTACTCAGATCCCAGATTACCCCAAGCTCTCCGCTGTGCAGTGTGCGTCATCAGATACTCCTCCCCCCCGAAAGCTAAGAAATGCTGTGTAAACTGCACTTTGAATGGCTGTAGAGGAGAGAGGGCTGCAGGCAAACAGGCACAACCCATGTAGGAGAATCCATCCTAATTCCCTGCATCACCCAAGGCCAATCACCTCACTATGCACATCCAAGGACCCACAACCACCCAAAACAATTTGAACAAAGCCTACTTCATATGAATACAGTGACAGTAAACATATAGGGGTCAAGTTATATCACAAAGAGAATACCACTATGCTCTCTATTATATGCCATGGCTTTCATTTTGCGGTCCATTCATGTAATGCAGGCAGTGGCATCCTGGCTTTAATTTTATTAGCGTTCTGTTGGCTCAGGAGTCCTGAAACCGGCAGAGCCCTAAGCACTTTTGTAAAGTACATCATTGTCCTTTACAGTTATGCAAGAATATTAAAAAGCAACGTGGAGGTGTTAAGGCACAGCTTTATAACTATCACCCTTGGTTTTAATCTCTCCAAAAGGATGGTATTCAGAACTTGGCCTTAAATAACACGGTGGTGGAATTTTATTATTACTTTCTTTGCAGCTACAGTTCTTCCGTGGCTCTTCGCAGGAAAATATCATCCTTCTTTTGCAATTTGGACAGCTAGTTACCCTTGGACCAAGCATGGCTCGCTGCATAGGCAAAGATGTTCCCATTGTGGTTGAAGCAGCACGTGGAGATGGGCTGGTCCAGCTGTTCTGACGTCTTCCATTTGGTTCGGGCATGTTTGTCTCAGAAATCAAACCAGCCAACAAAGCCGACAGTGGCCAGCGTGGTCTGTACCGGAAAAAGGCAATGCCGTTTTATGGCATAAATTTCAGGGGGAGCAGCTGTTTTTCCCATTGGACCGATAACATTTAAATGCAAAGCTGTCTTTGCCTGGATTCAGGGGGGTTGATGAAGTGGATGACAACTCGACCTTTGATACTTCCCAGGAAAAAGCCGGTTGTCTTGTTCTGTTTATCTTTAAATATGGCGACATATTGGTGCTGGTGCTTTAATGGAGATTCAGGCCTTCGAGATTATCAGGCTGGAGAATCAGCCCTCTGATAATCTCGAACTAATAATCCTCTCTCAGCTGTCTCTACCACGGCCATGGGGTACACCACATCCGCACAGTAACTTTGTTCTGGTATCTCAAGTGCCATTAAAGGATTTGGCAAGCGTGTGTCCTAAAACTTTAGAGTTTTTTCCCTGCTACCAGTCATTACACAGCTACAGTATCATTTGGCGCTTTGATCCAGTGTACAGTTTTTATTGGTGCTTCATGCCATGCAATCTGTAATCTTTATAGACTAGTTGCTGTTCAAGTCCCACATTTTGGCAGCTTTGTCAAAAGACATTGTCAATACTTTGCTGCCATCGTCACTCCAGCAGACGTCCCCTTTACATTTGTTGGGTCTTTGGAATAGTCTGCTCATTGTCCTGCACTTCCCAACATTGTACGTCATTTGCCTAGGAGCCAGTGATGAGGAAGTTCCCTGACATAGGCAGTGGGCTAAAGGATAGGCATGATATTCTGTCATCTGATGGAGAGCTGACCTCTATGTCCTTCATAGGGTTATGGTTATTGGTGGTGGTGCCACCAAACATGCTGGTCCCTCCAGTGCCAAAACCGCTTGTGGAGCCAAATAAACTCATCCTGGACCTGAATTTTTCTGCCCGAATCCTCCAGAAGAACCCACACCGGTGCCAATCACCCATCCCACCAGCAATCTGTTTCCTGATCATTCAGTCAATATATGAATGCATAACAACGTTGAATCCTTGCATTTGCACAGCATTTGGCTGGATTGTCACAGAGCCACTGCAAAGGAATCACGTGAACTTTGATGTTTTCTTGCAGCTTACTAAGCAGTTTACACTTTTTACACACTGACCTCAATGCCATCCATGTCTTCTATGAATCAAAATAAAAACCCGGCCATAGACAGTTTGAATCTTTGACGGTTCAGCAGGAACCAAATGCAATTCAAACTATGTATGGGCAGGCTGAATGTACCCAAGTTGATCGTTCAATCTACTTGAGTACAACCAGCCTGTTGGATTTTACATGTGATTTTTGCTAGTGGCTATTATAGCCTCTAACAGTAATCACTGTGTTCTCTCAGCAGCATTGGCAGCACACAATGGCTCTGCTGGAGGGATTCCCCCATCAACAGTCAGTAAGTTGCTCCATCTATGGCCAATTTCAGGATACTGGCCCTCTGTGTTTGCACAACACTTTACTGTATTGTATTAATGCACATCATTGTTGTATAGCAGTCAGTCCCAAGTCATGGTTTTTCACAAGCAGTACTGTAATGCTTGATTCATATGAATGAAAGAACTGAACACAGGTTATCTGCATTTGCAGAGCACTTTACTAGATGTTGTTTGTACAGCACCTTGCAGGATTGTTACTTAGTATTCACAGAACCTTTAATTACAGAGGACTCTATTTCCATGGGCTTGCACTTTCTTTGATTGTTTTACAGCAACTATGACATCTAAAGGGTTAATTGTGTGCTGGGTGTGTTTATGCTTCTCCGTAAGCAGACTGCTTGGTATGGTTGTGCTGTGCACAGCTATGCAAAGCAGTGTGCAGGAGCTGACAGGGAGAACTGCTTTGTTTACAAACCATTCTCCTCCCTGTCAAAGATCCTTGGCAATCACTGGATGCCGGCAAGTAATCACCAGCCGGGACCCAGTGATTGACAGCCGCGAACGGAGGTACGCCCCCCTACCTGGAAATGCGAAATCACGTATATATACGTAATTTTTTTGCACCCGTGTCGCCTTGTAGCAGTATTCCCGCTATAGGGCGGACGGGAAGCAGTTTAATATTGTTACAGTTATTAATATTTGTTTTTGAAACTTTATTTTGCATAAAACATTTAACAGTATCATTTCATGAGATCATTTATGAGGGCGTGTTTAGGGGCAGGGTAAGGGTTGGGTGGTGCAACTGGTGGCGAGCAACTCTTAAGGCCTGGCTAGCAGCTCAGCATTTGAAATTTTGAACCTTGACATGGGGCGTAGTAAAATGTACGCCAGTGGAGGGCTGTATTTACCATCACGGGGATACATAGGTGTTCTGTGCACCCTGTGCAGGCAGTCCCATTCCTGTTAATTGGGATGCAGCAGCAGCACAAACAGCCACTGCTCCCCATCTGACATCCGTTTTGGATGCAGACAGTGTGAGTTTAGGGACATGCACCCACACTTATGTCAGGTTGAGAGCAATGGCTATTTCCATGCATCCACTGGTTCCCAATTGACATCAGTGGGGATGCACGGAACACCTTAATGAGATTGAGGCCTTTCTATGTTTGTTTTTGGCTTTGGTGAGATATCAGGGGTCTAAACAGACCCCTGGTGTCTTTTTTTTTTTTTTTTTTTTTTTTTTTTTTTTTTCCTGAGACAGAGAGAGGGACTAAAGACATATTATAGGGTCCTCCCTTTCTCTGCAGCCTCAGCTGCACTGCAGATGAATGAATAGCAGTCTTCACATAGAGGCTGTACACAAACTGAAGCATAGTAAAAACAGTTTGCTATAGTTCAGTGGTGAATGAACACAGGAGTGATCGATACCGATCACTCAGTGTGTTCATTCAAGAAAGGATCTTCCACATGTGCTCCAGCAGCAGCTGCAGTGGAAGGGGGTTGGAGCGGCAGGGGGGATGTATTTGGATAGTATAGTAATATATATATACTAATGACATGTATCCAATTACCTGCAGGCGGCTTCTTTTGCTAAAAATCATCCCCACAGTGTCTCCTTCACAGTCGCTGTACACTGCCTTGAGAACCTGTCTTTCAGTTCTGTGGAGATTAAAAGAAGAGTCTTCTACAGAGAAGTTGTGCCGCCCACCCACTCCCTTCTGTCCTCTCCACCATATTGTTCGTAGTATTATTCTCCCACAAAGGATTGCCTTCTGTGAATGGACAGGATGAGAGATCTTGTCATTCAACTGCTCTTCCATTCACAGAATGCAGTGCATTGTGGGACAATATCAGTAGGAGTTCTGTTAATAGCATAGAAAGGCAGAAAGGGCAGGTGGGTGGTACAACATTGCTCTGTACAGTGGCTGCATTTAACCTTTACAATGCTGGAAGGCAGCTTCTTGTGGCAGTACTTGGAGGCTGTGAAGGAGACACTGCAGGGGTGATTTTTAGCAAAAGAAGCAGCTTGCATTTAAAATGGGATACACACCATTATGCATAACTAGTGTGTTTGCTGCAATCTCCTCCCCCCCCCCCCCCCAAAAAAAAATGCTAGATTTTACATCAAAGCTTTTTAGCTGAAGAAAAATAAATAAAATATACAGAGGCTATAACTTGACAGTTGAGGATGTTTTTTTTTACAATTTTAACCGCTTAAGGACTGCCCTATAGCAGATATACTGTTACAGGGTGACCCCCGTGCGCAACATCACGTATATATACGTGATTTTGCATTTTTTGGGTAGGGGGCGCGCACACCCTACCCGCGCCGCCATTCGCGACTGTGGATGTCAATCACCGGGTCCCTGCAGGTAATTACCCGCCGCTGGCGTCCGGTGATTACTGAGCATCTCCGAAGGGGAGGAAGATTGTTTTGCTCACAAATCAGTGTGCTTACAGTAAAGCACACTCCCAGCACATAGTTAACCCTTTGATCGCCCCTCACATTAATTCCTTCCTGCCCAGTGCCATTAGTACTGATCACTGTATTGGTGTCACTGGGGTGTCCGTGACACCAAGTTAGTTCCCCCACCAGTGTCAGAATGTCCGCCGCAGTCACGCTAAAATTCACTGATCGCCGCCATTACTAGTAGAAAGAAAAAAAAATCCCATTATCTATACTGCCATTTGTAAACGCTATAACTTTCACGTAAACCAATTATTTACACGCATTGGGATTTTTTTCAGCAAAGACATGTCGCAGAATACATTTTGACTTAAATTTATGAGGAAATTTTTTTTTTAATTTTTTTACTGTACATTTAATAGCAAAAAGTCCAAAATATTGGATTTTTTTTCTCAAAATTGTCGGTCTTTTTTTGCTTATAGCGCAAAAAATAAAAAAAACGCACAGACGATCAAATACCACAGAGAGCTAAATTTGTGGGATAAATAAGGACGTAAATTTAATTTGGGTGCAGCATTGCATGACTGCGCAATTGTCAAAATAACGCAGCGTCATAACAAAAAATGGCCTGGTCAGGAAGGAGGATAGATCCTCAGGAGGGCAAGTGGTTAAATGCATTATTTTTATTATTGACCACAAGCCTACAGGGCACTTATACCCCCTTCCTGCCCAGGCCAATTTCCAGCTTTCAGCGCTGTTGCACTTTGAATGACAATTGCACGGTCACACAACACAGTTATCCCCATTATCATTTTTTTTGTGACAGATAGGGCTTTCTTTTGGTGGAACTTAATGAACTCTGGGTTTTTTTATTTTTTCGTAAACAAACCAAAAACCACAGAAAATTTTGAAAAAAAAAACTTTTTTTTCTTAGTTTTTGTTATAAAATTTTGTAAATAAGTGATTTTTCTCCTTCACTGATGTGCGCTAATGAGGCTGCAGTGATGGGCACTGATAGGCTGCACTGATGGACACTGATAAATGGCACTGATGAGGAGGCACTGGTAGGTGGCACTGAAAGGCAGCACTGATATATGGCACTGATATATGGCACTGTTAGGGGGCACTGATAGTCATTGATAGGTGGCAATGATGGGTGACACTGAAAGGCAGCTCAGATGGGCATTGATATGTGGCATTGATGTGCACTGGTAGGCACTGATATGTGGCACTGATGAGCACTGACATCTGGCCCAGAAAAAAAAAATATTAACGCCATGGGTTAATTCCAACAACCAGACAACTCCCATATGCAGATAGAGGTCAGGAATGGCACCCCCATATTTCTCAAGGTTTATTTTAAATGTTTTATTTTGAAAGAACGTTTGTTTTCTGAAATTGCAGTGAGTTTTATGTAGTGAGTGTTTTCACAGTGGTATAGTGAATTTTGTGTAGTCTGACTGGTTTCCCTTTTGTTCGATCTTTTTATTTCTTTTTCTTGTATAGACAAATGAAAACCTTGAACTCACAAATGGCTGCAGAGTGAGCAGCATGTGAAGAAAGAACTGGCGAAGAGGCTGGGACAGTTGCAGGAAAGCTTAGGAGATTTTAAAGAGCAGGTGAGGCTGCCTTTTGGAAATACTATGGAGTAATCTGCTTGGATCACAGCAGGATTCACATTGTGACCATTTTTGTATTCTAGCTTGCCACAAAGGACCAGGAAGTTCAGCTACTGACAGCACAGCGAGATGAAATCTCTGCCCATCTTCAGCAATATGTAGCAGCCTACCAGCAAGTATCAATAGAGAAGGAGGAAATCCAAAGACAATATCTGCTGCAGGCTCAGCTTATGGACAGGTTGCAGCATGATGAGGTCCAGGGAAAAGTCAATGCAGAAATGCATCTCAAGGAGCTACAGCAGAGCAGAGTGAGTGTTAGTTTATGGAAGATGCATACCACTTTCCTGCCCTCAGTAGAGCAAAGTATGTAAAAGGAGAAGGTTCCTACAAAAAGGATTTGTTGTATTAAGAGAAACACAGCGACATCCATGTTGCATATTTTATCTTAAAGTGATCTTAATCGTAAATACTTTTCCCAATTTGGGCTTTGCTTCAATTTGTCTTCCTGTGTAAGTTCCAGAAAAATAACTGATACTCCTAGGTATGAGAGAACATGGCAGTTCTTCTGTCTCATTACAGTTTAATACTTATCTGTTTGGGCCGTTAACAGACCCAATCCTTGCTGCGATGTGAGTGGAGGGTTTGGGGAGCACAGCTCTGTGCAACCTTCAGAGAAATAACTGATATTTCAGGTGTAGGGAAACCTGTGACACTTCTCCTGTCTCCCCACCATTTAGTACATGGTATCTGAGTGGCCAGTTTCCATGTCAAATTCTTGCTGTCATGGGAGACACTGGAGTTCACAGCCCTGTGTAATTTGTGACTTAGATGGCTTGGCAGCTCATTTGGGGTGGTGAGAAAGCACACGGAAGATAGGTAACATCTTGTTTTGCTTTTCAGGAAAGTCTGCAACTTCTCACCAAAGAAAACCAGGAGCTCCGAGCACAGGTGCTGCAGATCCGCAGTGACCCAGACAGCAGAGTTCTGAGTAGGATAGAAGGTTAGTGATATTGTCCTATGAGCATTAAATCACAATGCTAGACAAATCTAGTGTTGGACAGATTAGATAAGGGTTGGAACAACCTTGGTTATATTTTGGGAATCTGTCGGTGTCCCCACTGGACATGGATCACAATACATATCAAATTGAAGATTTTAACCATTCCAAACTGTCAAAAAATAAATAAATTGATGGGACTTGGGCTTTAACTACCTGAATGAGTTTTGAATAACAAAGGCTAAGCATTCCTTTACTGCTGCAGGAGATGGTGTGGAGAGCACGGTGTATGAAGATGAAATCCCTAAGACATCACTGGTTGTTCCTGAAGATTTTGAGACTCGAGAAGAGATGGTAGGTTGTCTTTCATACAAAGTGTTTGCTTTTGTCCATGTAGTGTGTGTCTGTCTGTGTTCTAATTTTTTTTTACTGTGAACATTACACAATTGCCCAGTTACACATTTTACAGTTGGTACTTTTACTTGTGGCTGAGTGCTGGAATGACTGAAGTGGACAGAGAACATGGAGAGGATGGAAACCTCATAAACAATGGAACTGATGTATAGGACCAAAAAACTGTGCACTTCTGACCCAAAGAGATGCTTTTACTTGCCCATTTAGGACTGTGATTTCATCTTGCTTCCTATTGAGTCTACAGTATAAGAAATTCAGGGAAATCTCCCCAATTGTGACACAGATGGCAAAAAAACCTGATAGGGATTAACCATTTCCTACTCTATTCAAAACTGAAGAATAGTGTCCTTGGGGTAATAGTCTAGTCAGCTTTAGATTATCCTTTTTTTTTTTTTTTTTAGCCTTTTATATCATGTATGTGATACTGTTTATCTGTTTCAATAGATTGAGCTAATTTCTGCAGACAGTGCCCAGATTGGCCAGTGTGCTGTACTTGGCACAAGTCAGACCATTTGGAGGATTGGCTCAGAACCACATCTTCTATATTTGTGCGTGTCAGAAGCCTCCATAAGGAAAGCGAGTTGTCTAAAGCAGCCATTCTGCTATTGTCTGATATTAATTGTACACAGGCTTTGTTGGAATCTGGTTACTGCATGGTCCACTTACCTTTTAGACAATTTCAATTGTGAATTCTGCCATGTCTGTGTGTAAAAAGAAAAAAAAACAGCTCTATAAATGTGGGTTTTCTTTACCATATATCACGGGACACAGAGCAGGCTCAAACCATGACTGTGAACCACCCGTAGGTGAATGGACACTGGCAGATCAAAAAGGAACTCCTCCCCTATATAACCCCTCCTATACAAGTACCACCTCAGTTTTTTCACCAGTGTCTGTAAGGTGGTTGGCCACTGATGTGCTGCATGTGTTCTTGAAACATGCCTTGAGGTCCAAAACTGTTCTTCTCTGTGAATCAGGGGCTGCTGAGGAAGCAGGTGGTGTCCATCTCAGGAAACCTCACTTTTTGGGTGAAAGCGCAGGGATATCTTACCTTTTGGGTGAGAGTGCATTCTACCAGGAGTGTGGAGGCATCTTGGGCTATCAGGCATCAGTGGCTCAGGTTTGCAAGGCCGCTACATGGTCTTTGGTTCATATGTTCACAGGGTTTTACCAGGTGGATGTCAGAGCCATGGAGGATACTACCTTTGACTGCGGCATATTACGAATGGCAGAGTAGATCCTTTGGGGTTGATGGTGGTGGTTATTGTTGTGTCTCCCACCCCTCAGGTTTTATTGCTTTGGGACATCCCTCATAGTCATGCTTATAGCCTGCTCTGTGTCCCGTGATGTACAATAAAGAAAACTGAATTATTTTTCTATGTATATACTTGTAAAATTCATTTCTTGGAGTACATCACAGGACGCAGAAGTCCCTCCCCTCTTTCTGGGAATTCATTGCTTGCTACAAAACTGAAGTACTTCCTGTATAGGAGGGGTTATATAGGGGAGAACTTCCTGTTTGATCTGCCAGTGTCCATTCACCTATAGGTCATGATAGTCATGATTATACCATGCTCTGTGTCCCGTGATGTACTCCAAGAAATGGATTTTACAGGTAAGTATGTAGAAAAATCCCATTCGTTTATTCTTTTCTGCTTATGCCAAATTTCTTGTCTTGGAACCAATGTATAAATGGTTTATGTCCACAGATGACATTCCTTTCCTCTGCTATTTCCAAGTTACATGGAGAGCGGGATGAGGTAGAGAGGCAACTCATGGAGCAGAAGAGAACCTGTAAGCAGCTCCTGCAGGAGATATCTGAACTCCGACAACAGCAACTGTCTCCTCCCCACCATCACCCTGCAGGTATTTTATATATGTTTGAATATAGGGCTACCTCTGTCATTTTATGGGTAATTTTCTGCGTTATTGCATGGAAGTGTACATGAGGGTGTCTTTATATTGCTGTTTGTGTAGCCATTCACTGTGGACACAGTGGCCAATAGCAGAATAGCTCCTCCCTTTGAACAATGGACAGTAGGTTAAAGAGGACCTGAACTCCGGAGGTTGTGTCAAAATAGGGTAAAAGACTAGTCCTTTGCCCTCTGAGTTGTCTGCTGTCACACTATTTTCTGTTGTCACCCTGCAGCTGTTCTTTTCACTGCTACTGACTTACCATGCTTTCTCTCCATGTGGGGGTAGCCATCTTGGTAAAGGGGTAGGGCTTTGCTTCTTTATGTCATAGCTGCCCCCCTGATGACTGGTAATCTGGTGATTGCTGTGGTTGTGATGAAGTAGGAGTTGTAGGAAGAAAGGATCCATAGAACAAATATAGTAGAAGCAGGGTAATCTGTGTACTGCTTTCTCTCCAACATGGGCAGAAGCGTAATGACATTGCCAAATCTTACTCCAAATCTCCAGACAATAGCAGCAGTAAGCAACAGTGACTAAGATATCACACTATTGATATACAGCGAAGACTAAAAACACTGGACTATCTAGGTACAGAAGTGCACATCTGCTTTTCAGGAGGAATTTAACCATACATGTATTTTTTTTTTTTGATCAACACAGTCAAGGTGGATGGGGGAATCCTCCACGCTGCACTGTTGCATTCTGACAGTGGGACTTTTGCAGTCAGAATATACTGGTCAGTGCTGCAGCCTATTGACTGCAGTGCTGATCGAACAAAAGTTTTCAAACACTCCTGTTTGATGTAGAAAGAAAAAAAAGATTTAACCTTTACATAGAGAAAGGCTTCTTCACAGTAAGGGCTGTGAAAATGTAGAATAGACTCTCAAGAACTAATTGTGGCCAACTCTGTAAATTCTTTAAAAAATATTGTCAGGATACCGGAAAATCACTTCACTCGCCTGTGAACTATGGCGGAAACCCAATTTAAAATCATCCACAGAGCTTACTATCCTTTTTTAGCGAATCCATCTGTTACTCCCCGCCCTGCGTGTCCTTGGTGCGACCACACTCGACCTATACTCGGTTTCATCGCCTTTGGGAATGTGCCCGAGTTTCCACCTTCTGGGACCGTGTTCTTTGTTACATTAATCTGTATAACATCTCTCTCACCAAAGACCCTGTGCTCTGTCTCTTTAATTATCAAGATCCTGCGATGTCGACAAGTTCTACTGCACTTCCTCAGTGGATTCATTTTTGTTTGTTGGAAGTTCGCAGAGCACTCATGCAAGCTTGGATACAGCCAAACCCTCCATAGCTTAAAATCGTAATACAGGCACTAACTGCCCTATTTAATCTTGAGAAGCTGGACACCATTACCCAGTATTTTAAATCTGCACGCCGCTTCATCTCTAGATGGCGGTGGTTCTGGAACACTCCTTTACTCCTGCGGAAATGGCCACCCATATGAAACTTTTTTGATATTCATTTTGGTATCTCAAAGCTCAACTCTCCAATACGCTGGGCAAACTACGATTATCCAACTCCTTTTGTATCCACACCCCACAGTTCTATATTTCCCAGTCACGTAATGGAACCCATGCTCCTCCTTATGTTTCTTAGCCCATATGACACTCTTTCTCAATTGTCTTTTTGATAGTCGTTATTGTTCAGGCCTGCATAACCAAACTTTTGCTCCTAGGGAATTGCTTAAAAATGTTTTCTTTCTTGGAATTCAGCTTATGTTGTACTGCTTTGTTGTAACATTGGATACTGTCTTTTGTTTCCATTACAGAAGTTGTACTGACTTCTGTACTCACCACTGTTATGAAAAAAAAAAATAGTTTAGAGTTGTTTGCCAAGATATTCTTGTACCAAGTGTATACAATTCAATAAATTTGTTTACAAAAAATATCTGGATGCAAAATGCTTAAAATATAACTTTATACTAACATTTAGAGGTAATAACACCAGGGGTAGTTGGTCCAGGGAATATCCGATTGCCTCCTGGGGGAATCATAAAATAATTTTTTTCTCTCCCACTGGAGTGCATTGGATCACAATTTTGTTTTTGTTTTTTTGCCTTTCTCTGAACTGTGGGTATAGGATTGTGTATATGGGGTTTTTCTTTTACCTTTTTTTATCCCGTTGGTTGAACTAAATGGATTTTTGTGTCTTTTTCAACCTGGCTAACTATGTAACTATGACCTCTTGTGACCACATGTGTAATTGTTTTCTCTGTACGGCTGTTTTCTGCTTGTGGGGACCACTGCTATATTCGTGTTCCCCACAGTAACCATTTTACTGATGTTTGTTGTAGCTTGTGTAATTGGGTCTTCTGTACAACTGTTCATTGAGGCATTACAGTGCCAGCAAGTCGGCAGGGTGGTTGAGAAAATTTTATGTAGCGCTTATAGATATTTATGTCAAAAAGGCAATATTTTATATTCCTTTTTCTTGGCTGAAGTAGCTTTAAAATAGATGCGTGGTGAGAGCTTTTTCGGCCGTGTTTCTCTTTAGGGTCACAGGAGCACACTTTTTTTCTATGTTGACCCAAAGAAGCAGAGCTATGCCAGCCACAGGAAGGATCCCAAAAATATTGTTGAGATCCACCTGGCTTCCTGATTGACTGCTTGCTCATTCTTGCAGTGCATGGCTCAGTGCCAGAGCCAGCCAACTGTGCCTGCCCTTTCTTCCTCCCTAGCCTGGCTGGAGGAGCAGAGCAAAGAGCAGTGACTGACGCCACTCTAAACAGACCGAGAACTGTGCAATTGGCAGTCATGTGATCGCTTAAATAAAATAAACAATGTGCGCTATCAAACTTGTGAATGAGCTAATAAAATAGTCGCTGCAATTAACACTTAAAAGGTGATCCCACACTTAAAACACAAAAACATACATAATTAGTGTTGCGCTAACTCATATAAACCTTTATCTTTATACACTATTGTCCATAAACAGATTGAAAATGTGATGGTTCAATCAAAATATGAAATATAAATATAAAGTGCTTGAATCGTGAAAAATCAATACGATGTGCTCCGGATAATTGAAGTCTATTTAAAAAAACACAGTGCTCCACCTTGACTTAGTGTTCCTCCGCCTAAAAATATATATGTATGGTCGCTCACCTCCTACTGGGGACCCATTAAATAATACAGGTCAACCAAGCTTGGTAATTCCAAAAAGATGCTCTAGATGGCAGCAGAGAGCTGATGAGGCACCCCTTCAGTGACAGTATAAATGGGACTCTTCTCAGCTTAGCTCCACATACAGAAAGAACAGAGGACATCACCCATAGTGTAATACTGTTTTAATTTCACATGAAAAAGTTCCTGAGTGTCACTCATATGGTAGAAGCGGTAACAGATCGATTTGTAATTTAAAACTCCCGCTCTGTATTTTCACCATTCAAGCACTTTATATTTATATTTCATATTTTGATTGAACTAGCACATTTTGAATCTGTTTATGGACTATTATCTTTATGTGAGTTAGCACAACACTATTCAGTGCCTGCACACTTGCCTTCATGGTGTAGCATCAGTGTCACACTGCAGATGTCCCATGCTGGCTCTATGATCAAGAACCAAGCGATCACATGAAAAGTGCCGCGCTTCACTAAATATGCTCAAAAAGATATATATAATTAGTGCAACCAAGTGCTACTGTGTATACCAAGTGACAAAAATAAATATTTGAACCAATATCAATTTTCAAAAACAATACGCATATAACATATTGAAAACAAAAACAAAAAAATCATTAAATGGATAGGATGGTGTCCTGCTGTTTAGGGTCCTTCTCCAATCAAACGATAGGCTCCCCTTCCACAGTGGTTGATATAGCAGAAGAATAATCAAATCATAGTATATAGAAGAATAATCAAAATCATATCCTTTTAAAAAGAATCATTCCCTCTGATGAAGCCAGGTGACCGGTGGCTTAACACGTAGGGGAGGGGCTTTGATGTCACAATGCTCGAAGGAACCATACTGACACCAGCTGGGATACTTTAGAATATTTACCATTGGATAATATCCGGAGGACACATTGTGTGCACAAAGCAGTTCTTATGCAGAGCATATGTGAGTTCATTACCTTTTATTAATAAAAGGTTTTTAAAAGGATAATACACTATGATTTGATTATTCTTCTATACACTATGATTTGATTATTCTTCTATATCTACCACTGTGGAAGGGGAGCCTATCGTTTGATTGGAGAAGAACCCTAAACAGCAGGACACCATCCCATCCATTTTTGCCCGGTTAAAGGGACACGTGTGTGGACATTAATTTTGGCATATTGATTTTTTTTTTTTAATATGTTATATGCGTATTGCTTTTAAAAATTGATATTGGTTCAAATATTTATTTTTGTCACTTGGTATACACAGTAGCACTTAGTTGCACTAATTTATATATATCTTTTTGAGCATATTTAGTGAAGCACGGCACTGTTCATGTGATCGCTTGGTTCTTGATCATAGAGCCAGCATGGGACAACTGCAGTGTGACACTGATGCTACACCATGAAGGCGAGTGTGTAGGCTTCTTGGTTCAGGAAGGCAGGTGCTGCCATAGACACCTAATCATTTTTATTGGAATCCTGCTCCTACTCCTAACATCCAGACCACATGTTCACTGATCAGACAAATAGGGGGTGAGACTAAAATGGCCCTCAGCTATTCCTACATTTAGAGGGAACCTTTGGTGAGAAAATACAGTGGGTCTTTTAAAGTCTGTTATACTTCTATAATTTCTGAATAAATTAAACAAGTAGGTAGATATTTTTTCTTTATGTAAACACATTTCATACAGACAGCCATGGGAGAATCAATAGTCAGAGCTGCCCAATAACAAATACAACTGTAGATGAGGATTTCTGACTTTTCTCTGACTTCACTAGCTGCATGTCTGTTCCAGTTTACTCAAAGGTAATAGGCCAGAGACTGCCAAGCAGGAGGTCAGTAAAGCAGCCTCCATGTTTCCCTCCGTACAGACTCTTTATAGGCTGCTAATTACCAAATGGCCTCAGTCATTTTTGAAGATCTTCTTTACATATTACTCCACTCACTCCATAGATCACCTTCAGCAATCTGCACTTTGCCCACTGTAAGAAAAATTTACTATTTCCAAAGGTGTTATAAGTTGTTTTTCACATCCAGCATAACTTCTACATTTCAAGAAATCCTAATTGTACCTCTTTGTGTGATTTCTTGTAGCCATAGCAGGTGTGGGAGGTGATTTCTTTGCATGATCTGTGTGTGGGTGAAAAATGACTACTTATAATATTGTGACTTATGAGCTTATTGTGTGATGTCAATGTACTAGTAGTGACTGTTTCTGTAATGCGTCATGACCATATTTATTTTCTGTTCTTGCTCACAGAGCTAAGTGTGGATAGTGTCCCCCGAGAGGTGTATGATGCTCTACAGAGTGCTATGGAGAAGTTACAGGTAGGAGCCTCTCTGATCCCAATTCTGAAATTATTACCAATTTGTTATTTTGTTCACAGCATTTGTCATACAAATATCACCAATGGCTATGAACAGACCTGTCTCTTATCTGCCCTGTACAGCACTATGGCCTTGCAGCACCGGGCTCCTTCATTTATAATTTGAACAGGCACATTTTGTACTCTAAATTCATGGGCACACTCGGAGGCTCATTGTGTTAAACTAGAACCACCTATTCTGCCTGGAGAGTGTGTGTTCCCTAGTACAGCCCAGTGCTCTCCCTGCTCCCAGTTGGAAGCTTTGACATCATTGTTTCACTTTCAGTCTTAAGCAAATCAAATCTGTTATGCTAGAAGTGGGAAATATCAAAGGCTGTGCAACAACATTGTACAATACAGTTTAACCGCATCCCCACTGCCCTGTAGTAGAAATACTGCTACAGGGCAGCACGGGTGCACAAAATCATACATATATATATATATATATATATATACAGTCATGGCCGAAATTGTTGGCACCCTTGATATTTCTCCAGGAAATCATGTATTTCTCACAAAACGTATTGCATTAACACATGTTTTGCTATACTCAGTCTTGTATTTCCTATTGTGTATTATTCCCTTTGTGTGTATTGGGGAGGAAAGAAAGCAAATTCGACATAATGTCACACAAACCTCCAAAAATGGGCTGGACAAAAGTATTGGCACCCTTTCACAACTATAAATAAGAATGTTACAAGCATGTGAGCTCCTGTAAACTCACCTAAGTAACAGGTGTGGGCAATATAGAAATCACACCTGAAAGCAGATAAAAAGTGCGTTCACAACCTTTGCATTGTGTGTCTGTCTGTGCCACCTAAGCATGGACAACAGTAAGAACTGTTGAGAACCAAAATTGTGGCAAAATATCAACAATCTCAAGGTTACAAGTCCATCTCCAGAGAACTAGATTTGCCTTTGTCCACAGTGCGCAACATTATCAAGAAGTTTGCAACCCATGGCACTGTAGCTAATCTCCCTGGTCGTGGACGGATGAGAAAATTGATGAAAGATTGACGCAGAATAGTCCGGATGGTGGATAAGCAGCCCCAAACATGTTCCAAAGACATTCAAGCTGTCCTGCAGGCTCAGGGAGCATCAGTGTCATATCCGTCGACATTTAAATGAAATGAAACGCTATGCAGGAGGACCCCACTGCTGACACAGAGACATAAAAAAGCAAGACTACAGTTTGCAAAATGTACTTGAGTAAGCCAAAAGCCTTCTGGGAAAACTCTTGTGGACAGATGAGACCAAGATAGAGCTTTTCGGTAAAGCACATCCTACTGTTTACCGAAAACGGATACAAAGAACAAAACACAGTACCTACGGTAAAATATGGTGGAGGTTCAATGATGTTTTGGGGTTGTTTTGCTGCCTCTGGCACTGGGTGCCTTGAGTGTGCAAGGCATCATGAAATCTGAGGATTTAAAGGATTTTATGGTCGCACTGTAGGGCCCAGTGTCGAAACTGGGTTTGCGTCCAAGATCCTGGGTCTTCCAGCAGGACAATGACCCCAAACATACGTCAAAAAGCACTCAGAAATGGATGGCAAAGAAGCGCTGGAGAGTTCTGAAGTGCCAGCAAAGCCCAGATCTAAATCCCATTGAACACTGTGGAGAGATAAAATTGCTGTTTGGGAAAAGGTGTCTTCCAATAAGAGAGACCTGGAGCTGTTTGCAAAGGAAGAGTGGTCCAAAATTCCGGGTGATATTATTGATGGTTATAGGAAGCGACTGATTTCAGTTATGTTTTCCAATTATTAAGTTAAGGGTGCAATACTTTTGTCCAGCCCATTTTTGGGGTTTTGTGTGACATTATGTCATATTTGCTTTTCTGCCTCTGTGTTCCAATACATACAAAGGGAATAAACATGTGTATAGCAAAACATGTTTAAATGCAATACCTTTTTTGTGTGAAATACTTGATTTTCAGGAAAAATATCAAGGGTGCCAACAATTTCGGCCATGACTGTATATATATCTCATAAAATAGTGCCACGCATATATCTCTGTAACCTATGAATTAAAGCATCCAAACCATGTGATTATGCAACAATGATGAATACAACTTAAAAGTCCATAATATATGCTTGATCCGTGCGTTTATAATTTGTTTCCAAACAGGTGCTCTTTATTGCTTATATCCACATATATTCCTATAGGTGCGCCTCCACCAGAGACATACATATATACTCTCACCTCCTTTTATGACCCAAATTGCATAGGTCAAATACCGCCTTTCCCTTTTAACCTGGGTGGGTACACTGTGTAGATGAGTCCACTTTCCTCCTCACTCTGCTGCAAACGGTCCTGTCTCCTCTTTATCCCACATATCTTCCGCATATGTAAACAAACGCTTGCCATAGTGTGGTATATATTTATAGCGTGATTTATTAAAACAACAAAGTGCACTCACATTTCCCAGTGTCCTTCTGGGACATCACATTTAAAAACCTTGTTATAATGTATTCAGGAATTTCTAAGATGGCGGCTCGTAAGCTTCCTGTTTTAGCAGCTTGACGTCATTGGCCCACTCTACGCGTTGCATCACATCACGTGATTTTGAATTTCTGGGTAGGGGGCACGAGCGCCCTACCCGCACCCCCTTTCGCGGGGCCGCGGGCTGTCAATCACCGGGTCCAGACCGGTAAATACTTGTCGGCGCCCAGCCATCCAGAGCAGTGTGAATACAGTGAAACACACACACCGCCCCATAGTAAAACACTCCCTGCACACCGTTAACCCTTTGATCGCCCCACATGTTAACCCCTTCCTGTTCAGTGTCATTTAGCACTGATCACTGTATTAGTGTCACTGGGGATGTCAGTGACACCAAGTCAGTTCCCCCCAGTGTCAGAATGTGCGCCGCAGTCCCGCTATAAGTCACTGATCGCCGTCATTACTAGTAAAAATACAAATTAAAAAAAAAAATCCAAGTATATATCCCGCCAAATAACTTATATGTAAACCAATTAATTTACGCATATTGGGATTTTTTTTTTCAGCAAAGACATGTCACAGAATACATTTTGGCCTACATTTGACGAAATCTGTTTTTTTGTTTTTTTTTTTTTTTTACTGGACATGTTTAATAGCAAAAAGTAAAAAATGCTGTTGTTTTTTTTTTTTTTTCTCAAAATTGTCGGTCCTTTTTTTTTTATAGCTCAAAAAATAAAAACCGCACAGGCAATCAAATACCACTGAAAGAAAGCTCAGTTTGTGGGAAAAAAAAGGTCGTAAATTTAATTTGGGTGCAGCCGGATTCCCACTGGACATGTGTGAGCTCACACAGCAACTTGTGAATGGTCTTACAGCATCCTGGGACATGTCACATGTCCCAGGAGGCTGCCCAGGAAGGGGGGACGAGGGATGTCCTGCTTGCTTAAGTAAGGATTTCCGAAGTAGGAGCAGGTACTGAAAAAAATCAGTGCCAGTAACATCAGTTCAAGAAATAGATGTCATTAGGACAGGATGCACAGACCGCAATAAAAACAGTATTAGAAGTTCTAACCTTTTCTCACTAAACTAAAAATGTTTTTTTTTTTTTTTTTTGTTTTTCTATTCTTGTCCTAACAGTGAATGGAATAGGCAGACAGATCTCAATGAAAACTCTTCCTTGCTGTTTCTAAAAGGAAACCAGTTTTGGCAGAATTGATCTCTAAATATCTTGCACAGATCCTACTACCCCCCCCCCCCCCCCCCCCCCATTCAGAGCATATAAACAACTTCCCTGTTCTCAGTGACAGCGCTATAATAGGCAATCCTCTGCACCCTCCGGTAACCATCTCCGTGTGCATGCACTGTCAGATACCTGTTTGTAAAACATTCACTTCTTGCTTTCTGCATTGGAAGCTGGTCCTTGTGACTCTCCATCAGATTGCTGTGCAGCTCCAGCAGATTGACTGCCATCTCCCCTCTCCCTTGATGGAGTTTTGCAGCAGCTCAGTGGCATCAGAAGTTTACTACTTGCTCTGCCATTTCACTATGCGGTGTTGACCAGTTGGTAGAATGTCACATGACTGCAGTATGGAGAATCTAAAATAAGACGTTTGCATATATTATTTGAATGTCATTTGTTGACTGCTCTTTAAAGTATTTTCATTTCTTCTGATATGTACAACCAAGTTTCGGTATGTTACTGACACTTTAAGCTGGTCATACACTTCAGAGTCTGATAGTATAACCTCTACCAACAACTATGCAGTGCAAAGGCTGCCTAATTGGATATTATTTGAAAGGGTTGTATAGGTAGGTCCTCATATTACAAAATTTTGGTAAATCTAATGGATGGCGGACAGAGACTTTGCTATCAGATTATAGCAATTCTGGACAACTTTTGCAAAACCAGAGATAAACAGTTTGGCCTGTTTCTATTATGGGACATGTGTGTGCTCATGTGATTGTGATATAATGCTGAAGGATCCACTCTGGCACAATATATTGTAATGACTTTGACAAATAGTATGTGTTTTTGTTTGATTTCATACTCTGTTTTTGTAATTTCTTACTCTGTCCAGCAGACATATTTAATTTTCTTCCTGTGTTTGGTTTTAGTCTCGATTCACACACCTGATGCAGGAGCGGGTGGAACTTAAAGATAGGGTGGAAGAATTGGAGCATCGCTGTATCCAGCTGTCGGGAGAGACGGACACAATTGGTTAGTGTGATGGGCTTGTCATTGCCTGTGCATCAGTCTTCTGAATACACTTATAAAATGTTACTTGCAGACCACCTAACTGGAAAAATATCATGTTTTTGAAGTTTAATACTGGGGTTATGGCTGCAGGTAGACACCATAACCCCGGTATTAAATTTCCCTGAGGCTCTGGTCTTTCTGTTAAAAGTGATCCAAGCGGCGGATTCGCTGCTCGATCACTTTTAGAAGCAGCGGGAGGGAACCTCCAACTACTGTTACCTTCCAGTGGTTCTCAGGCTTACCTGGCTGATCGTTGGCTCTGGGAACTGATCCAGTGCTGGCAGCGGATGGTCACAGAGATGAGCTAAGGAAAGATGGCCTAGCAGGACCGGAGCAATGTCATGACATCACTTCCAGTTACGACCCAGCGTAACTGAGGCCTTGTTTATTGTTTTTAAGAGAGGAAAGGAGACCTGTCATGCTGTATTGTTATCGCAAGGGATAATTAAATTTCTTGCGATAGCAATAAAAGTGGTAAAAGGAAAAAAATAGGACAGTGTAAAAAAATAGTAAAAAAAAAAAAAAGTCATGTCCACATATGTAAACTGTGTTCTCACCACACATGTGAGGTATTGGCGCTAACATAGTTCAACCAATAGTAAACAATAAATAAATAGAAAACCTCCATATACACAATACCATACCCACAGTTGATCCAGGGGAAGGCAAAATACCTCTGTAAAGCATGATCCAATTGGCTCCAGTGGGGAAAAATTAAATTCCGTCCTGATCCCCAGAAGGCAATTGAATATTCCCTGGATCAACAATCTCTGGAGTTTTTACCTATAAATATTAATATCAGGTTATGTTTTATTAATATAGGAATACACCAAACTCTTTTTTTAAAACAATCTACTGAGCTTGCCAGAACTAGTTCTTGAGGGAGTCTATTCCACATTTTCACAGCTCTATGAAGAAGCCTTTCCATATGTGGAGATTAAATCTCTCTTCCTTCAGATGTAAATAGTACCCCTTTGTCCTCTGTAATGGCCTGGTCATTAATAACTCTACACCGAGTTCACTATATGGACCACTTATATATTTATATATGTTGATCATATCCCCCCTTAATCTCCTCTTCTCAAGAGAGAATAAATTTAGTTCCTCTAATCTTCCCTAATAGCTGAGCTCCTCCATGAATCTTATCAGTTTAGTTACCTTTCCCTGAATATTATTTTTTTTTTAACAGTAAATGCATTCAATATAGGAGTAACATTCATAACACTTGCAGAGCATGTTTGATTGTCCAGTAACAGATCCGTGTACTTCTGGCATGTAACCCTGTTTGAAGGTCACAGCTGTTCTAAGAAACAGAAAAAGCAGTGCGCTATTCAGCCCTGTGTGTAATCTGATCCCTTTTGATAAGCTGGCCATATATGGATCCAAATTCACTGGTTCAGCAGGGACCAGCCACATTTCGATCCTAGTATGGGCTGTATCAGATACTCGCCGCTAAATCAGTGCTGCAGGCTATAGCCTGCAATGCTGATCAGTGTATTCTGATGGTGGGAAAGTCTACTTGCTGTTAGAATACAATTGGTCAGCAGGGCGGTGGGGTGGATTCTGCCAATCTACCGAAGATATGTGCGGGAATTGGGTCAGGTTTTTTTTGTTCAAACCGTTGATTGAGTGAAATAATCTCGCTCATCTATAGCCAGCTTTAAGTCTATTCAGAATGCATATTTGAAATTGCCTCTTTGTGCTGATCAAAAAGGTTGACTAACTTGACCGTGATATGAAATGATTCTCTGTCTCTACAGGGGAGTACATTGCACTTTACCAGAGTCAGAGAGCCATCCTAAAACAGCGTCACACAGAAAAAGAGGAGTATATAAGCCGACTGGCTCAGGACAAGGAGGAGATGAAGGTGACGGATCCTGGCACATGATTGGTTGCTCTCCCTGTACTGTATTATTTTTGTAATCGACCTCTGCATTTTGTTCTGCCCAGGCCAAGTTACTGGAGCTGCAGGTTTTAGTCATGAGGTTGGTTGGTGAGAGAAATGACTGGTACAAGAAGTATGCGGAAGCAACAGGAGGCTTTAAAGATGTGGGAGATACAGCTCTCCCTAATGATAAACCAATGGAGCTGGGTGCAGCGGATGGGGAAGGTAAGGCTGGATTCACCAGATCTATGGATACTTTTAGTCAAGGAACCGGTTTACAGTTTTTCTACAATAGTTAACGGAGTTAACTGCTGATGATCGCATTTCTGAACACCCAAAGTGGGAAGCAGTAACCAAATAGTGTGGGAATGCTGTGCTGCTTGTACTTTCTGGCAGAGGAAACATTTTTATTTTTTTATTTTAAGTATATAACAAGGTTATTTGAATTCATTCAGTCAGAACAAATGCCAATCAAAAAACCTGCCAAGTATTAATATATTTTTAATGGTTTAGTAAAAATGTTTTAAATGTATTTTCCAGTTTGTCCGTTGAGTTAACACAGGAAGAATTTTTTTTTTTTCCCGTTTTTGTTTTTACAATGAAAAATGCAAATGCTTTATTTTAAAGATCATTACATGAAAATAAAGGAACAGTGCAAAACAAGCTGTGACTTATAGATTTACATTGAATAATGGCCTAGCAAGACCCATCAGAGAATAATTAACATATACAGAGGTCAAGTCAGTGATGAATATCAAAGTGGAGATTAAGTATATGTGATGGACAGCTTGTAGCAACAGCATTGTAACATGCTGGGTGTTCAGAAACATAAATCCAACAGTTGTATTACAGCATGACCACAGCTTACGTAGGGTCACAACTGTCACGTAAAAAGGTCAGAAGAATGTGAGGCATACCCATGAGGCCCATTAGGACTGAATTGGAGGTGTCACACGTGTGAGAACAGTGCTGCCAGCAGGTCCCAAATCTATATCTACAGTCAGGTCCATAAATATTGGGACATTGACACAATTCTAACATTTTTGGCTCTATACACCACCACAATGGATTTGAAATGAAACTAATAAGATGTACTTTAACTGCAGACTATCAGCTTTAATTTGAGGGTATTTACATCCAAATCAGGCGAACGGTGTAGGAATTACAACTGTTTGCATATGTGCCTCCCACTTGTTAAGGGACCAAAAGTAATGGGACAGAATAATAATCATAAATCAAACTTTCACTTTTTAATACTTGGTTGAAAATCCTTTGCAGTCAATTACAGCCTAAAGTCTGGAACACATAGACATCGCCAGACGCTGGGTTTCATCCCTGGTGATGCTCTGCCAGGCCTCTACTGCAACTGTCTTCAGTTCCTGCTTGTTCTTGGGGCATTTTACCTTCAGTTTTGTCTTCAGCAAGTGAAATGCATGCTCAATCGGATTCAGGTCAGGAGATTGACTTGGCCATTGCATAACATTCCACTTCTTTCCCTTAAAAAAAGGTTGCTTTTTGGTTGCTTTTGCAGTATGCTTTGGGTGGTTGTTCATCTGCACTGTGAAGTGGCGTCCAATGAGTTGTGAAGCATTTGGCTGAATATGAGCAGATAAAATTTCCCGAAACACTTCAGAATTCATCCGGCTGCTTTTGTCAGCAGTCACATCATCAATAACTACAAGAGAACCAGTTCCATTGGCAGCCATACATGCCCACGCCATGACACTACCACCACCATGCTTCACTGATGAGGTGGTATGCTTAGGATCATGAGCAGTTCCTTTCCTTCTCCATAATCTTCTCTTCCCATCACTCTGGTACAAGTTGATCTTGGTCTCATCTGTCCATAGGATGTTGTTCCAGAACTGTGAAAGCTTTTTTAGATGTCGATTGGCAAACTCTAATCTGGCCTTCCTGTTTTTGAGGCTCACCAATGGTTTACATCTTGTGGTGAACCCTCTGTATTCACTCTGGTGAAGTCTTCTCTTGATTGTTGACTTTGACACACATACACCTACCTCCTAGAGAGTGTTCTTGATCTGGCCAACTGTTGTGAAGGGTGTTTTCTTAACCAGGGAAAGAATTCTTCGGTCATCCACCACAGTTGTTTTCCATGGTCTTCCGGGTCTTTTGGTGTTGCTGAGCTCTCTGGGCGTTCCTTCTTTTTAAGAATGTTCCAAACCGTTGTTTTGGCTACGCCTAATGTTTTTGCTATCTCTCTGATGGGGTTTGTTTTGTTTTTTCAGCCTAATGATGGCTTCCTTCACTGATAGTGACAGCTCTTTGGATCTCATCTTGAGAGTTGACAGCAACAGATTCCAAATGCAAATAGCACACTTGAAATGAACTCTGGACCTTTTATCTGCTCATTGTAATTGGGATAATGAGGGAATAACACACCTGGCCATGGAACAGCTGAGAAGTCAATTGTCCCATTACTTTTGGTCCCTTAACAAGTGGGAGGCACATATGCAAACTGTTGTAATTCCTACACCGTTCACCTGATTTGGATGTGAATACCCTCAAATTAAAGCTGACAGTCTGCAGTTAAAGCACATCTTGTTCGTTTCATTTCAAATCCATTGTAGTGGTGTATAGAGCCAAAAATGTTAGAATTGTGTTGATGTCACAATATTTATGGACCTGAGTGTATATATTATATTTAGAGGGACAGCCCTATGAACATAGATAAGCTTCTTATGGGGAATGGTGGTATTAACTTCTAAAAGGCAAGCCTGAAAAGTAGGAAGAATAGCTGGCATCCAACTACGTGCTATCCGTTTTCTTGCATGTAAGAATGTTGTCATTTATTTATCAGGGTCAGAGTATAGCAGCAGTAAGCTTTGTTTGGGGTTGTAGAGCTAATAGGCAGCAATTGTATCATGGAAAACCCAAACCGTACCACTTACATCCAAAACCCCTAGATTTTGGGACAGGTCCACAATAGGTGATAGAAGGTGCCCAGGATATTTAGGACACATTGGGCTGTGAGTGGGACAGAACTTGGACAACATGGGACATTTTTAACCTTCTATTTTACTGGCAGCTATGGGAGAATTTGACACTGGCAAATAAATTTTAGGACAGCTCTGGATAACTGCTATGCCTCAGTCGTTTGTGTCCTAGAAGGATGAATGCCTTTTCTGCAGCTCTGCTGTATTAATGACTAACTTATTTTTCCACTAGGCTTTTTTCATTTGTCAATGTATTTCTTCATTGCTGCAGGGACTTTGTCTCTTTAGTTGCATCTGGCATAGCTGTCCGCAGCCTAGTTCTTGGAGTACTGCATCTGGACCTTGCTGTGTTGGACACTGGGAAAGCTGGAATTGATTTTCAGTAATTTTGGCTCTGATTGGGTGCTTTCCAGACTCCATTCTGGTAAAATATAGCTTACAAGTATGTTCCAGATCCAGAGGGCCTCAGCACTTGCCCTGTCTGAAGACTGAGTGGAAGAATCAGGCTGAGCACCAGGAGCCAACGCATTTACTTAGGTCACTGGATGCCTTTATTCCCTGTTCCTACTGGTTGTAACATGGAAGGGGTTAATGCTGTGGCACTGAATGATGATGTTTCCAATCATTTTCGAGGAAGCATTTCCCTGTTGCTGTTCTGCCCTTAGCCTTTACATTGGTCACAACATGTCTCATTCTGGAAAGTTCTGATTTACCAGATGCCTCTAGCTCAGATTCTATTATTGGCTCTGAGGCTGTTCTGTTGGGTCTGGCTAGACCCTTTCAGCTGTTTTTACTACTGACATGCAAGACTTTATGACCCAATTATTTGCTGTTTATGTACCCTCTCCTGCAGATTCTGAATTGCCCACAGCATTACCGGCTTCCGAGGCGTCGGCCTCAGAGATTGTGTCCGAATCGGAGTTCTTCCAAGCGTTGACTGATAAGCGAGCACCTGAGGAATTGCAGACTATTGCTATTTCTCCCAAATTAAAAGAGGCTGTTTCAGCTATTATTGATCTTGAAGATTTGGTCTATGTCAGTACATATGCATAGAGCTAAAGTGCTGGATTGCAGAATGTTTTTGTAAGAAGTATTTGGTCCACATGCCAACAGAAGCCTAAGGAGCAGACTGTGAAGTCCTTTCCTTCTCAGAATGTTCAGATAAGTCCCCTTTGTTTCTGTAAGCCGTCAGCGTTCTAAGTGAGACTTTCCAAGCTTGGAAAGGTATGGCACACAGTTTGCAGGTTTAACGTTTGTGGACCTATGGACAGCTTGCTTGTTCAACACTTGGGTACAGGTACTGGTATTCCAGACCTGTGAGTTGGAATTTCGTTCCCTGCCCCCTGCTTGGTTTCTTGCCTACACCCTTCCTGTGTCACTGCACAGATCAGCATATTTCTGTTAGACCCTCTTGGGTCTTCTGGATCAAGGCTTTCACTGCCCAAGTTCCAGTGGCCCAAGCTCAAAGGGGGCATTTGTAGAATTCTGGATCTCTGAGGTAATTTGGGTCAGGAATTCTGCATGAAATCTGTCAAATTGGTCATTGAGAGACTTTCTTGCTTCTGTTGACACCAAGGGTGCTTACCCCCATTTTTTCAGCACATCAGTGATTCCTTAGTTTTACTATGGGAGTAACCCTGCCCTCCAGCCACTCACCTGGACCCTGGGTATTCACCAGAGAGCTAGCCCCACTGTGCTTTTGTGGCATCCCAATTGTGGGATACTTAGATGACCTACTCTCTTGAGGGGACATTTGGTGTAGGTACTGTCTGGCATGAATTTGACTGTCCAGCCATCCAGCTCACTGATTTGAGAGTCCTGGACCTGATTGTTGCCTCCTTAGAGGCAGTTCCACTTGACGTATTTCACTTTTAGACCTTTGCAATACAATATTCTCATTGTGGGACAAGTTGAACAGATCTTTGGACAGACCAATTCAGTTATCCCTGGGCAACAATTTTCCCTGGTTTGGTTGCTGAGGCAATACAGTTCTTAAGTCAGGGAACTCATTCCTTCCCTTCTTTTGAAAGATATTCATGACAAATGCTTAATTGTTGGGCTAGGGGGAAGTCCTGGGCACCTTGTCAATGCATGGGACTTGGTCAGAGGAGTCTCCTCTCCAGTCCTACATCCTAGACCAAAGGATGATCTGGCTGTCTGCGGTGTTGGACCTTTTCTTCTGGAGGATCATCCATTCCAGATTTAGCTGAAAGTGGATATCCTGGACTCAACAATAAACTGGAAAGGTTTGTTACCAGGTTCAACGGATCTACTAGTGGAAGCAGTAGGGTCAGTACACCCGGTCCGTTACATGGACCCCCTTTTGTACAGATGCCTCTTTGACCTACAATCTGCCATGAATCTTGATGAGTCCTCCATCTCTGTATCATGGTCAAAGATCACTGGATCACCTGTTATATGAAATGAAGTCTTTCTGCTCTTGCATCCTTAAAAGAATTGGCCTTTACACTAGTCAACTTCTACACCAACCTAGTACTGGTAAAGAGTGCATTGCCCATCCTCAAAACCTCCTTTTTTTGCTTGTTTCCCCCAACATGCATGTTTGTTTCTCTCTCTCCCTCTCACCAAATATATTCAATAATGTCACTGTCTTACAAACTCACTTAGAGATCTACCAGCTTCTCCTTCTTGGGGGCATGCTGACTACTGCCCCTTCAATACTCTGTAATCTATCATGTGAGGCAGTTCTCACCTAGCGTGATGATAGGGAACCCTTGTGTTAGGGATTGTTCCCATTTCTCATCCTGCAACTTCTTCCATTGGACTCTCAAGACACCTAGCCTTTGTTACCTGTCATGTCTTAGACCTTCCTTTATACCCCCTTCATAACCGTTTGACCTTGCACTCTTTGTGCACTCCCTTTTGCAAAAAGTTGCACTTCTTCGTCACTGTTGCAGCTATTTGTGTCCTCCCTCTTGGGCCTTCATTGGGTGATTTTGCCCACACAGCCCTCCCTTTGTGTTCAAAGGGGCAACCTCCTTTTTAAAAGGCCTTTGTAAGAACCAAACTTTTTCTACTTCATTCCCCTAACAGCAGTAGTTTTGCTTTGGTTTCCCCAATGTTCTTTGGGCACCCCTCCTTTTCTTACGCTGTGTAGGAATGAAGTGGTCCTTCCATGGGTTTTTTTATTGCCATCTGTGGAATTGTCATTCTCCCTTCCTCTCTCCTTCCTTATGGGAAGAACCTCCCATATGTCTTATGGATAGGGTCTGGACCATCCTTTATAACTACCTGTCATGTATTATTTTGCCATCTGACCCCTCTTCTGTTTCTCACTGGACGTTCTCTATATGGGACTCCTCCTTTCTCTTCCACCCATGTGGGTGGTTAATTTACCTTTCTTTAGGGCTTCTGCTGTCAGGAAATGAGTCCCTCTTTCCCTACCTGCTCCCCTAGAGGTTGGATTTCTTGGGGTCTTTACAGCATCTAGCATTGCCTATTCGTCAGGGTCATAGGGCTACTAATGTTTTTATTTGTTTGCCAATTACTCCTGTTGATGGAAATATAAATTGAAGGTTAAAGACTTCCTTTGTGCATCACTGTACTCCAAGAAAAGGATTTTATGTTCAGCACAAAAAGTATGTTTTTGATTTGTCAGCACTGTTCCATCACCTGATCTTAAAGTGTATCTAAACCCAAAAAAGGTCATGTACTGCAGCTTACAAGTCCTTAGATGTGGTGACTGCATTAGTTTTTGTTTTTCAGGCTGAGAACTTTTTTGTTAAGTACAAAAACTACCTGTTGCTAGAGAAGTTATATCCTTGTCATGTCCTGTCCTGGATACAAGAACAATCTTTCTTACAATTTGTAGATTACAAATTCCATTATCCTCATGTAATGGAGTTGAACAAAGACAGACATATCTAAAGTCCACCTTGGGTAACAATCATAACTAGCCATCCAGGGGCAGTAAGTGTATGATTCACAGGATTTTCAGGCTAAATAAAAGGGGAAAAGCCAGAAAAAAAAAAAGAAAACGAATGCAGACACCTCTTCTATATTTTAAATGTTTGTTTTTGGTTTTAGATACGCTTTTAAAGGGCACAGTGACTATTGACCTCCTTCTCACCAGTGACTCAAGTCATGTCAGGACTGAAGCTCCATTCATACTGCTGCTTTTCTGATGCGACTTGAGTCGCACAGAATCAAATGATAAGGAAAATCACATTGTTACCAGTGGTGGCCATTCACATCAAGGTGACTTAAATGATTTTTTTTTTTTTTTTTTTAAAAGGTTCCTGTCCTACCTTAGTGCATCTTATAGTGCGACTTGGCCCCATAGGAAAAAAATGCACCCGAGTTGCATCAAAGTCCCACTACATAATCACTGAAATTTGTGCCAAAATCGCATTGCTTCGCAATGAACCAAGCCTAAACATGTGATGCAGCAGTAGAGCAAACAGTACGATATTTCTAACATTTTGTTATTCCAAACGGGCACTATGCTGTATATATTTATTAGAATTGCCATTCTAAAATATTTATTAGAATAGTATATCTCTACTTTTTTTGTTAGTTTGGAAAGATCTCACTTGCTTGAGTTGTCACCAGGACAGGAAGTAAAGTTTCCCTTCACAGGCAGAGACCGCAAAAAAAAAAAAAAAAAAAAACATGACAAATTATATTTTCCCACTCTACCCAAAATAAAATTTTTTTTGACTGGACTTGTACTTTAAAAAAAAGTCTGATGCTGTTTAAAAACACAAAACACCACTACTGACTACTTGAGAGGAAAATTTTACAGAACAGAATGCCAAATGTCAATATAAAGCTAATTATGACCTTGTCTCCACAGTAATGGAGGAAGTCAGCTTGGCTGAGGACTCTGAACTGGAGAAAGCTCAGATCTCATCTCTCCCTCTCTACAACACAAGGAGCAAGTGCCACCCCCAGTTCCACTGACCCCACGACGAAGCAGATTATGCAGCTCCTTCGTGAGATCCAGAACCCACAAGAACGCAGTAATTCTCTTCTTCACAATCCCTGCATCCCCTTCTTCTACCGCGTGGATGAGAATGATGAGGTCCGGATTATGGTGGTCTGAGATCAGTCCCTCTTATCCAAACCACCACTTCTTCCATGCCAGCTCTTCTCTGAACTGTGACTCATGACCTCTGGCTGTGCAGGAGGAGTGGTCACTTGGGGTTGGGTGAGGTGGGCTGGAGAGCGGTGGGTACTACAGCTGAGAACTGGAACTGACTTCCCTCACCTTAGCATTGGTTTCTGGGAGGGTGTGATTCTTCTTCCAAAACATGATGAAAACAGAGGAGGTTTTCAGTATTCAAAAATGATTTGCCCCAATACAGCTACCCCAAGGGTCTGTAGGTCCTGTTCACACAGGCTGGCAGCATAAGGAGATTAGCATTATCCTTCGTTACTGTGCACTGCTTGTTTAACCTGTAGCTCCTTGGGTCAGATAACAGTCTACGCCATTCAAATTCTTGCTTAATTTTTAAACCGCTCTAACTCTAATTTATTTTTTTTTTTTTTTTTGCTACAAGAAGTCTGCAAGATGCCCCTGCTACAAAGAGGAGGCAGGGCATAGTCTCAGAGGGAGTGACTAGATAGAATGGAAGCATCAACATGCCAGGCAGTCAAAGGAACAACTGCCTAGGAATGTTTACTTTGAGGACCGTGGCAGGCCGTTACGCAGTGTCGTCCACGTTTCTACATGCTGCTTTGTATATCTGTATGACGTGGTGCAAGAATGTCCAAATGAAGGAGACAGGGATGTTTTGTCTTTTTTTTTTTTTTTTTTTTGTCTTGGCAGTTCTTCTTAGTGGTTGCTGTGGCCCTTTTTTTTGGCTGCAGGTCCCATCGTAGGTCAGGTGCGTAGAGATTTTATACTTGCATTTTAACAGGAAAATCTAATAATTTACTAAGAGGGGCATATAAGTGATTCCTGAGCAGTTTGATTCAGGTGATGATTTAAGCATCTGTGACTCGATCGAAATAATTCCTTTTTTGAAGGTTTTTTTTTTTTTTTGGTTTTTTTATTTGTTATGAAGCAGTTCAGGATAAGCCAAACCAAAGTCTGTGGGTGATTTTGTAATGTGCTCAGGCAAGCTGACAGGTAAACCTTGGTGGCAGCCGTTTTATGTGAGAATGCAGTCTATTTGCTAAGAACTAAGGGGCAAGTTTACCCAGATATGAATTTTCAGTCATTGGCTGAATGATAGCAAGTCCAGTCATCTGTTGGCTTCTTATAGCTATCTGGGATGGTGGTGGCTTTGACTTTTTGATTTGCTTGGATAGTTGCACCCCATCTGCATGAAGAGCATGTCTACATTGCTGTGTACAGAAGTCAGTGTTTGGGGTACAAGCTGGGAGCTCTAGGGGGAACTGTCCCTGAAAAATATATAAAAAGCCTAAGGGAAATATTAATAGTTGGTTTACAATGACACTTTGAGTGTGGGTATTGTAATATTTGGCGATGGCATTAGTTCTTAGTAAACTTGTAGGTCTCACAACATAGCCATCTATACAGTGTTGAATTTTCAGTAACAGGATGGCTGTGTGTGTGGTTTTTAATAAGAAGCAGAGAGATGGACTAGAAAGACATTTTTCTTTACTCTTATGAATACAGTAATACTGCTTAGCACTTTCAGAACACTTGTGTTCACAAATCCCACCCTTGCCAGGAAAAAACATTTAGAGCCGCCAGTAAATGTTAGATCTGAGTGTGCAACACTAAAATGGATCTTTTTTTGCATCAAAAGTTTCTTTTTGTTTTATCCATCTTCAACAACTATGAATTTCAGTAAGAGCTTGAAACAATTGTGAGATTAAGAAGGTTGGCTGCTCATCCTGTCGATCATGCTCTGTCCTGAAAGTTTGCACAAGTAGCCTGGGTGGGTGAGGCTTGGATAGAATTCCCATATCTTTTCCCGAGTCCGGTTCGGAAACGGTTCCTGTACATAGTGTATGAGTGTAACATTTTGTATATTCCTGGATAAGGCGCTGGACCTCCGCAGCATTTTCCGCTGCAGGGATCTTGTACTATAATATGATGGAGCTTCTATAGAAGCTGGTTTGTCATCTTGATTGGAGATTTATTAATAGGGGATTGGGGGGTTATTATAATTTATTAGGTGATCCTTCACAGGTCAGGGGGCTGCACTTTCCATTCTGTTGCTGAAATGATTTCATCTTGTTGGAAATAAATTTTGTTTCTTTCTGAATAAACATATTCAGCAAATTAAACTTGGTGTTAATTGTGTGTTTTCCAAAGGTTTCGTTTTGGGGGAAAAAGATAATTTAGATATGATTTAAAGAATATCTCCAAGCTCTTGATAAATATTATAAAATCATTGGAATGAACAATTCTTGTTCCATAAAGAAATAAGGGGCCTTGTATGTGGAGAAAATATGTTGCCATCAATTTAGGGTTTTTTTTTTTGTTAGAATACTTCTTGAAAAAAATAGATGCATCTGCATTACATGTACATTTCTCCATCGTTTACACTTCCTGTTGTGTGCAGACAGCCTTGTCTCTGCTGCGGAGAACTCCCAAGCAGCTCTATCCCTGCTGGACTACTACACTTCACTCATCCCTACCCCCTCTGTCTTCTTCACATACATTGATTCCTTCCCCAATAAGTCAGTGTTGCTGTCTGCCCACACACTGTGGTGTATGGAAAGCACTTACGAGAGCTGTAGTTCTGGTTGCATGCCTACATCAATAGAAACTGATCTGCCAGCAACTGTTCCTGCAAAAGCGTCACAAGCTTGGTGATGGCATCCCAGGAAGTAACAAAAGCCGTTCATCACTATGGAAACAAGTCAAAGAAAAAAAAAAGATGGAACGTGCTTTAGATAGGGAGAGGGGTGGTTTAGGTATGTAAAGATGGGTCAAGCCCTTATAAATCATCATTTTATGCTGTGAAATGCATGAGTAGTAATGGTAGCTTCCAAAATAGAAAGAAAAAAAAAAAAAAGAGGGGCGCATGCGCAGAAGCTCCGGACCAGACATGTCCGTCTGAGGCTCCGCAACATAGCGGGAGAAGAAGCCTCCCAGACACTGCTGCCGGCCTGACTCCGCTCCACAAACGTCTCGGCCACTTAAACGGCAACCCCGGAACCTTTTGCGATGGTCCGGAGAGCTGCCAAACATCAGCCCCAGGCAAAACCAATTAAAGAAGCCCAGGCACGAGCTTCATTCAAGATGGCTGCCGGCTACACAGCACAACCTATGCCACACATTCTCTCCTATGCAGCCCTGCAGATGGCTCCCTCTCGCTGCACATCTGATGGTGAGTCAGACAATGACCTGGGAATACCTCTCTCAACCCCTATCTCTGACCCTGCTCATCCTGACCTTCTCAAACAATTTGAGAAAAAATGCTACACAAAGCTCTAAAACAGACCTCTGACCATATCACGGGCAAACTATCTAAAGAAATACGTGACCTAGGGGTACGCATCTCTGAGCTAGAACATAGGGTCGACAATTTAGACGCCGCCGTTCATACGTATTCAGGTAAATTTGAGCCTCTACGGGATGCAAACCTAACTTTTCAATATCGCCTGGAAGACTTTAAAAATAGAGCCTGCCGCTCAAACATCCGTATCCGCAGCCTCCCAGAAACCATAACCGATGTCCTCTCCATGGTCACTGCCCTCTTCCAACAATTAGCACCTGCTATCCCAATTGAACACCTTGAACTGGACAGGGTACACCGCACCTTGGCTCCACGTAGACCGGACAGTCCACCTTGCGATACTATCGGCAAATTCCATTATTTTCGCACTAAGGAATAACTACTCCAGGCGGCCCGCAATGTGGGGACCCTAACCTTCCAGGGTCATACCTACCAGCTATTCCAAGACCTGTGCCCTGCCACAATCGCCAAACGCAGGGCAATGAAGCCTCATTTCCTGCTTATTCAGCAACAGGTCATAGCATACCGTTGGAACTTTCCTTTTGCAGTCCCGTGACTACATCTGTTGGACCTCAGAGGAGCTGCTCGACACACTACACCAACTCCAACCTCCTACGCCCACTCCAGATGGATCGCGCAGAAGGTCTGCATCCTGCTCTCCCCAGAAAAATCATCCCTCAACATCCGCCTCAGGTCAGCTCAGTGTCCACAAACGCAGATGATTCTCATCTCCAGCTCCAGCCCCCCCCAAGATTCTATGGACTGAAGCTCTCACCCGTATCTTTTACCCCTACCTCGCCTTACACTGGGCCATACCTGTCACTGGGACCTTCTATCACTGCACGTTATTGTTGATCCCTATTCCCACCGAGAACACCCCCGGAGGACCTTTTTTTTGGCCCTGGTTCCCCAGCCTGCCACTCCTCACAGCCAGCCTTCTGCAGTCCGGCACTCACGGCCACCTTCCCTGGTTCTCAGGCTCCTCCCTGCCCTTTTGAGAACCCACCTTGGATCTCACTACCCTGATGGCCTCCCGGTCCCACCGTCCACCCGCCCGCAACAGGGCCTTTCCCTTACTTTGGGTTTTGCTAATAAGCATTTGCCACTCAGGTTTCATTGTCTCCTGACATTTTGCTAATTTCATTGTGTTGTATTTTGCTTAATGTTGCCATGCCTTCTTCCCTTAGGTTATTCAGCCTTGTTCGCCTGGTTTTTTGGAGCTCCTCCTGATTGCCTGGCATTCCTGGGCTCAGCTATATCCGCAGTGAGCTTGCTTCCAGTGTTGCCTGAGCCTCAGACTCCCCCGCTATCCTGGAAGCCTCGGGCACCTGTCACTTGCACTGGCGTCTGCATGTTTGTATTTACACTCGGTTGTCTTCTCCACTATGTCTGCCACTGCGCACCCACCATTAGTCCATGCAGTACAGGTTTCTTGTATTGCCCGGGCTGCTTCTGACCCCCCTGGACCGTTCGACACGCTCCTGTCCCTGGGGCCAGACCAATGACTCTAGCTGTTCTCCCCCTTCATCTGCTGTTTTCTGCTTTCTGCACTACTCTCCTACCTCCATGTGACTTCCCTCCCACTTTCATTTTTCTTCAGACATCCTCCCCATACCATGGTCGGACCACAACGCTGTTCTCACGACTATCTCCCCCCTGTCCC